GCCTAGGTTTGGCGGCGGTAGAGTTAGGGAGGCCGGGGGCGGCAGTCCGCTACGAGAATTGTCCATGGGCTTGTTTGCAGACGATCTCGAAGGCGCTGTGGTCGCTGACAGATCTGACACTGGAGGTGGGGAAGACCGTGGAGTAGGAACGGACTGGCGAACGATGGCGTAGTCATGGGGCCCTTTGACCCCGTTCTGCGACGAAGGCTTAAGTGTGAGCAGCATCCTTCCGGTAACAGCGCCGCTGCAGCAGTAAGAACAGGGAAGGAAATGGGCAGCGAGCAAAGGGTGCTATAAGCTTGAACCGAGCTTCGAGTGGAGATCGATAGGCAGCACCGATAAGCACGCAGGTCGAAACAGCTGTCAAATAGAAGCTTGCAACAACACCCAGCTCACAGCATCTGATAAGTTCAAGAAGGAAGAGGGAGGTGGGGAGCAGTGAGGGCGAAGCACGACAGCATCGTCTGCCTGGCTGGGAGAGTAGAGAGGTAGAAAGAGCCCGGAGCAGGTGAAAGGAGATATATGGGACAGGTCGAGGACCAGAGGAGAGATGAAGCAACGGAACTAGCAATGGAGCATTCAATTGCGAGGCTGCAAGGATGTTGAAAGGAGAGAAAACAGCAAGATGCGAAAGCAAAGCAAGAAGACAGATAGCATCAGTAACGAACAGTGAAGACGAAGAGAAGGAAGAAGACGAAGCCTGGAGCTGGAGACAATAATCATAATAATGCAGACTCAATCATCGCCCAAACAGGATAACCCCCAAACGGGAAAGACACACTTACCCAAACAGGGCTGGTCCCCGCGTAGACTAACCAGATCGGGAAGAGACAGTCCCCGGATATCGATGCCTCAAGATGCTGGCCGTAAATGGGTTGATGCCTGAGAAACGCGGGATGGAAAGCAAGAATAGAATTTCGGTGTCTGAGAAGGAGAAGAGGGGAAAAAAAAAAGGAAAGAAAGAAAGAGGAGGAGGAGAAGGAAGGAGATAGAGGCGGGAACTGGGGTGAAGCTAGTAGATTACTGATTCTTCACCTCCAACACATTATATAAAGTAAACGGTTGACAGTGGAGTTCCCAGCGCTGCAAAGAGACTAGCGGCCAGATTTGCTGACGACGAACCGCCCGGTGCGACTCGTCATCCCCCATAGCACTGCTCCAGGCTTTCCTGCTCCGCTGCTCTTTTCGGGTTTTCCCCTGTACAAACCTATAAACCCTATCCGATTTCCGCCCATTCGAGACATGCGCTTTTCTCTTCAAGTTACTAGTATCTCGGCGTGCCTCGTCTAGATTGGCCAAATCTCTCTGTAAACCGGTCGGGCCCGTTTCAGTAACTCCACTGTCCATCCCCATCTCCCCGTTAACTACTCAATCTGACGGCCTTACGCAACCCGCTTCCCAAGGGACCGCTTGGCATGTCATACTGCCCACTCTAAACTACTCCTACTCAGTACAGGCAAGTGCATGAAAAATGCGACTGAGTGGCGGAATAGGAAGGAAAGAAAAGAAAAAGCCTAGATAAATGTATATACTCGAAGAAGGTAATCAATGGGTCCCAGGGTATCCAGATACACAAAGCTGGATGGCTTCGCACTCCCCCCACCCCATGTGCTTTTTCTTGTCATCCTCACCCGTCACGATCAAATCGACTGAGCACTTCCGGAGGTACTGTTGGGATGTATTTACGCGCCCGTTCGCGATTAGTACCTCCCCATCCAGCCCCGTAGCTTATCAGCATATCCGTGCTGGTGGGTAAGGAGAAGGGGAGGGTCAAAGACGGATCTAAAAACACCCCATGACTACCGGCCCGCTCCTCCATCAGGGCCGGTCGTGGAGATGCGAAACTAGACCCCGGGGATGCCATCGAGGCGCGCGTCGAGGCGTCAGGAGAGGTGGCCGCATCGCCCGGCATGGTCGTCGCCGGGGGCGTCTGAGGACGTCCCCCATCGCTAGAGGCTGACGCCTGCGCCGCACCTCGTTGCTGCTGGGCCGCTTGAAGCTTGGCATGCTCCCGGTAGAGCAGTTCCGGGTCGCGCTGCAGCTCAATAAGAAACTTCATCGCTTGCTTGGTCAGTCCCTTTTCTCCGACCTCTGGCCGATACGACTTGACCGCATGCAGAAGCTGGGCCGGGGTTAGTTGCTGCAATTGAAGGAGAGTCGTCACGAGTGACTCGAAGTCATCTCCCAGCGAGGAGAAGCATTGCAGCCATTGCAAAAGCTGGATCACCGGGGCGAGATGCTTGCGCGCAGCGTCCATGGTGCACTCGCCCGTGCTGGACGTCGAGCCGTTCTCGTAGTGTTCCGGTTGGCGATTGTTGTTTCGGGCCCAATCTTCCAACGTCGAGACGTTCATGCGAATCTGCATCGCTTTCGTGCGGGCCAGGTAGCGTTTGGTACTCATGATTCGGTTGAACAGCTCAGCGCCCACCCAGTACAAAAGCTGGGAAATGATCTGAGTGGTGATTACGGAGTGAACATCGTACAAATCGAGGACAAACAGGGTTGATGACAGAAGGGAGGTGATATTGCGCGGCGAGACCTGCGCACGCCGTCGCGGAGATGGTGGTCGGAAGCGCTTCTCTACCGGCTCGGGGGCTTTTGCCTTGGACTTGGGTCGGAAAAGTTTCCATTCATTTTGGAAATGTACATCCTCCAGGCCCGGAATTGTCTCGTGATCGAGCATGGCCGAGTCGAGAACCTTATTCATGCGACGCTCAGCATCGCGGATGATCAGAATGAAGATCTCATTGATCAACTCGGCCAGGTGAAGCTGGAATTCCACCGTGGCTTCTACCAAGCCGGCGTCCTTCTTCAGGTAGTGGAGCAAAAGAGTCGCATTCGACATCCAGAAGGCCAGGATAGTCATGTCCCATTGATGACGCTCCACGACGTCGTTGATTTTATCGGTCGCGGAGACCAGAAGTGTGGCCAGCAGTTCGGGGCTGGCGTGATAATGAGCGTAACGAGCGCTGAGGAATAAAAGGTTGGCGGGTACCGGTTTCTGTGAGGGTGATCGCTGTGGTGTCATATTCGTGATGATGATATTCAGTATTTTTTCGAGCTCATTGTCTTGGAAGACGAACATCTGGTCGTTCAAGCACCGGTCCCAAACGAACTCTTGTTGCTCCTCTTCCAAATCTTCGTCATCTTGCGACTATCGATGCAATCAAGAGACAATGTTAGCCATAGTATCATCAGCGGAGAATCTGCCATCCAACTTACGTCGAATTTCTCGTCCAATCCTAGGCTCGACAGGTCTACCTCAAGGTTGATCGCGCTCTCTTCCATCATCATACGCCGCTTCATTTCGTTCTCTGCGATTTCCTCCTCAAAGCGACCATGGCCGAACCCGGAGTCATAAAAGTCGTCTTCGATGGCGCTCGGTCCAAAATGATATCCATTTTCGTGCAGGTACTCTGAAATCTCACTTCCTGGCTGAGCAAAGTCAAACGCCGTCCCACCCGATGAGGACTTAATGTCCGGAGATGCGCCGTGGTCGAGGAGAATTTTGGCAATTGTTTTATGTCGGTTAGTCATGGCCCACATTAAGGCACTCCACTGATTGCGATCCTGCTGGTCGACAAGAGCCCCTGCATCAAGCAGGGCTGACACGACGTCCTGATGTCCCTACACCGAGTAGTCAGTCTTGCATCGCCCGGTAACTCAGCGAGGGAAGGGAAAAGGCCACGGAACATACAAAGCAGCTAGCGTAGATCAGGGGCACTGTGCCCTCTTCATCTGGCATGTTGACATTCACGTAGTCTTTTGCTTGCCCCAGCACCAGCTTGCGAACACGTTCCACGTCGCCATTACTCGCCGCCATATTCAAACTCCGCTGTAGAATGTCCCGCTTCTCCGCTTCAGTCAGCTTTTCATCGGAGGCGATGGCATCTTCGTCCGCACCCAGCGAATCCACTTCCCGGTGTGCCGCCTGCGCAGCAAGCATCTCCATCAACCGGGCATCGCTATCCTCGAGGCGAGCTGTGATTGTAGATTCGTTATCGTCGTCGATAGCGGCCGCAGCAAGACCGCGTCCATACTGGGCTTGAAGGGCATGTTCCTCGTCATGCGTGTGATCATCGAGCGTGAGGCTGAAGCTTAAGGGTTTGGCGGCTACGGGGGTGGTGAGAAATTGCGACTGACCTGCAGTGTCGCATATAAGTTAGCCATTTGCTATGCGCAGGAGGGTGGGGTGACAGCTGCGAAAAGCTGCGCAGCCCGGAGAGGGGTACGAAGGAGGGGTAAAGGAGGAACAAGTAGCGGCGCACCTTGCCAGGCATCGTACATCTCCGTCTCGTGCTGCAGGACTGGCAAAGAGCGGCGGTCATCCAAAGACTTAGGTAAATCATCGGGAAGCGTGCGGACGTGAAGGTCTGTCGAAGATGGATCGCTATGGTCGAGCTCGTCCGACACCCCGCGGGGGGAGTCGGGGTCGTTCATGACGTATGAAGGGGCTATGACGGTGGAAAACGGAGTCGCAAAAGAGAGTAGGAGAATCCGAGTAGAAGAGGTATACTAGCTCTCGCTCCATGGAGGAGACAGCCTCAAGACTGGTTGGTATGGAGGACAGCCTCCTTTCCCCGGTGGGTCGTCTTCCCGTCTGTGTGAATGAGATGGTCTCGAGCCGGATGGACGGGGTTTTGTAAGAGAGCGGTATATGCTGGAGAGAGAGGAAGTGAGTGATAGTGGGTAAGTTGCTTTAATAGAAGTCAAGATCCATCAGACGAGTATCGGAGAAGGACTAAAATGGAGAAGGGGGAGAAGAAGGGAAACGATGAGGGAGCGAGCGAGAGAGATGACGAGTGTTCAGGCAGGCGGGCGGGCGGGCGGGCGCAGTGGAACCCTGGAAAGTTCCTGGCTGGCCGAAAAAGAAAAGAAGCAGCCTGGCTACGGAGTACGGAGTAGCATTGTTATATTATTATCCACTTCCACTGTGAAACTCCTATGCTCGCTCCGCCGCTCAGTGCATTGAGATTTAATTTAGATTGCTTCAATTGATGGTTCATTTCGGTGAGAAAAAGGATAGACTATTAAAGAAAGGATGAAACCCCCCTTCTCCTTTACCATTGACTTGAAAAGGTTGATAATTGTGCAGACATCATCGCATCAGAATCCAAACATGCCATGCCTCTCTCCTTGCATCCAAAGAGAATAATGATAATCAAGTAAAACAAACCCAAAATCAGAACCAGATATGCAAAACAACAGTCCAATCCCAATGCACCCTGATGCAAGATTAATATACATAGAAAGCAAACATACATACATGACAAGTAACTAGATTTTCAACACCCATTCTGTCCATGGCCCAATGCGATCCAGGGTATCTTCGGGGGTATTAGGTAGTTGGCGCAACATGATCACGAGCGCTCCATGCAATAAAACAATCCATCCTCCCAAATTATTATGTTTGTCATCTCGTTAAGTCTGATCGTGTAGCGACATGGTTCATCATATGTCAAGCCGTAAATAGTGTTTATTCCAGCTGCTTGCTGCGCAGCTGGACTTGCTCTTCGGAGAGCGATGCGATCCACAGGCAGCGTTCGATAATACCCGGGATCGGGTCAAATCTATACTTGGTGCTGGAGTCAATCAAACGAAGAAGACTCTTGACGATCTTGGCCGTGGTACGGTAGCGTTCAAAGTTGATCAAGGGTTCTCCATCGTATGTAGTCACCTGCGCCGGTTTTTGTGCATTGTAAGTGAGATCATGGACATAGAGACCTGTATGTTGAGTGATTAGCCACGGATTCCTTGACAAAGATCGTAGTGCCCCAAAGAACAACTTACCGACAAACGGAATGCAGCCATCCTGAGCATTGACCGTTTCCATCTCTACGCGGAGGTCGTGAAAGTTGCGAATTGGTTGAATCAGGGATTCCATGTCCTTCAACAGGTGCTTATCGGCGGGGGGAACCAGGGCCCACGTGCTCTGCAGTCGGGAGCAGTCGGTAGATGATAGAGCAATGGCGATTTGAAGCATTGTTGCGTAGTTACACATCCGCCGGGCGTGGACTGCCGTGTGAATGAATTTGGCAATCGTCCGGGCCCGCTCATGTAGATCGAGGGTAAGAACAATTTCGGAGAGCACCCATTTGACCATCAGGTTGAAGCGGCCTACAACCAGATCAATGCCTCGACTTTCTCCTTCCTTCAAGAATTGGATCCAGCTGAGTGCTGAGGGTGAGCCGCTGCTCCATCGCATATCGATCAAGTCCCGCCAATCGACCTCGCTCAATGCGGCCATCTCCACTAAGGTCAGCTGTTGAGCAAGAACGTGAGACTCGCAAGAGAGAACAAATGGCACATGGTCGGGTTCGGTGTTGTTGTTCAATGGCGGAGGGAGTTGGCGGTGCTTTTCGGAGCGGGAAATGACATCGCCGGATACATGCTGCACATCCAGGGCTCGGCCATCTGCTTGCTCCGCGGCGTTTCTGGGAGATGGGTCAGGCGTCAGGGGTTCTGTTGGGAACAACACCGGGTTGAGAGGCGTGGCGCAGGAGATCGATCGAGTGTTCTGGATGGTCATCGGAGGGGACGGCGGATGGGACGGCGGATGGGCAAGAGGATGTGCAGGAATTCCCAAGGACATATCGCTCAGCCTGTGTGTATCGAGAGATAGCCGTTGCTCCGCCGCCTCTCGTGAATCGACTAGGTCCACGGAAATCTCCGAGGATAATCCTGATAGGCGCCCGAATTGCTTGCGCGACTCGTGAGGAACGGTTGGAAGCGTAGAACCTCGTGGTATACGATTCAAGCTCTCAGTCTTCTTTACAATATCAAGAGACGAATGTGATGAGTCCACATTCATTGTGCCCGATGTAGAGATGTCGCTGGCTTGCATGCGAGATGAGCTAGCGACTTTCGAAGATGGTCGACTGTTTGACTTCTTCATTGAATCATCACTCAATCCCCGCTCGAGCAGCGGGATTGAGTTGTAAGAATTTTCTGTTTCTGCCACCGAGCGGGAATTGTCCCAACGATGAACGAGGCGTCCCTGTATCTGTGAGTAAGTCAAGCTGTCTCCAAGGAATGTCTCGCGTCGTCCAGCAGCGTTGGCCAAACTCGGATGATGTTGCGCAGCTTGACCTTGATAACAGCGATCCTCTTCACAAACACTACCAAGAGCATAACCTTGAGTACAAGTCTCTGTTCCAACGGAGACTGCTTCATGGTCAGAAGCCGGTTGACCTTGCCACTTGCCCTCCAGCTTCAGCAAGGCTGATTCTACGCCTCCATCGCCATCATCCGGGATTTGCGCGAATTGAGCTATGGCAGCCTCGAATGAGCGCCGCATGTTCTGAGATGAATGTGTTGTCATCAGAGAGTATCGCGGGTTCGGTGGAATAAGACTTGTCTGAGGTCTGGAGCCGAGGTTCTCAAGCTGAGTATCGAAACTGTCCGCACCAGAAGTGCGATAACTCATATCAGAAAGCATCAATTCCGAGTTAACTCGAGATTGAGGACAGCTCTCATTCCGCATTTGACGAAGGTCTCCGCCAGGGCGCCTGCGTAGCATTGGGCCTGCAGGTCTATCCACTTCTTGCCGCGAGTGTTGTCCTGGGACTGGGACGGCTGGCTCGCTACCCAACGTGAGGCGCAGCTTGGAGATCCCGCTTTGGAAAGACGCATATTTACGCAGGCGCAGCGAGGGCGAGGTTTGTTTCCAAGATGCTGATCCGCGTTCGACTGAGTATGATCTGCGTGACGTATTTGAACCGGAAGGACGAAGAAATTTGGACGCCCTGGACGAGAGGCTAGACTCGCTTTCGTCGAGGTAAATGGGAAGTGAGTACTCGCCAGTGGCTAGAGTCGAGCGTTGAGAGTGTGCAAGCAAGGATGGAGCCCTCAAATTCTGCGAGGAGATCTCTGTATCCAAGAATCGAGGAGCTTCTTCGAGGCCGGCATTCGAGCCAAGGGCCCCGGACATCATAGGCACCGCAAGGCCAGTGCCATCCACAATGACAATCGACTCACTACCTGTGGTTAGCCGACTGTTCATTCTGGCCAGACCGGGTGTGGCAAGGTGAGGCTCTATCTCATCAGCCGTTACAGTCGGATGCCGTGGAGGTTCAGAACGCAAGACGACTGGCTTCGTCTCCGCTTGGTCAGTGACAGCTGCACGGTATTGTCGTAAGGCCTCGTCACACAGCGTGTCAATTCTAATACGCCGCTTGGTCGCCGCAGTTGCTTTTTTATCACGGTATAGATCGGAGCCAAATGCGACATTATTGGGAAGCGCCGAGGTCTTCCCCAGATAAGAAGGGTTCGTTTGTCCCTGCGTGGTGCGCGAACCGCTAGGTCCTCCATGGCGACTGTGTAGAGCGCGGCGAATTGATCCAATGATGGTTTTTACACCGGACCCGGAAGAGCTAGGTTTGGCTGTTGTGTTGAAAGTGCTTCGTCGATTAGGGGATTTGTCTCTAGCAGACGATGGTAGAGGAGGGGATGGTGGTGCCATCATTATCGTGTACGACTCCGCCGGAGGGTAGAGTTCGCCGCGTATCAGACTACCTAAATTGAGCACTCCATATGAAGTAGCGGTAGGGTGCTGTCCCGGGGATAGGAACGAGAAGGGTGCGCGATCATCTCTGACAGAGTCGGAAAAGCTGCCGCTACGTTTGTGTTTATGGCCCGAATATGGATGGCGACGGGTACTTAGAGGTGAAGGCAGTGCATCCCGAGAGGATGTCAGTTTCAAGGGTGCAAGTGGTACAAGGTGGGGTGCTTTGTTGGAGTTCACAGCCAAAGAGAGTCGTTTCGGAGATTTAGGCGGCAGAGAACACGAAGTCGCATGAATGCTGCGGTCACTCATTGTAGTTATTGGGAGACTCCCCGTCGTGGTAGCAGAATTGTTGCGCTGGTGGTGACTAGCAGTGTGAGAGACACTACGTTCGAGACCAGCCTCCATGTTGAATTCCGGACCACCGACAGCCAGCATGGTATTACCACCGGTTTCCAAAGTGATATCATCCTCGCGGCCGCCCGGCCTGATAGCAATCTCTGGGCTGTGGAATGCGACATGCTGTTCGGCGGTGTCCCAGTAGACTGAGCACTTGCCATACCAGCATCTTTTGAGGTCGATGAGAATCTTCAGATCACTCATTCCTCCTCCTTGCCGGGCCTTCACATCAGTGTACATGCTGTTTATCATCTCGCAGAATGATGCTCGTAAGCTGTAATCCGGAACAAAATCATCTGCAAAATAATTCAAAATCCAGTGTCGAAGAGCGGCAAAGGTACGGATTCGGATAATTCTGCCGTCGTCCTGTGGTCGATTGATTGCCCATCGGAGCCGAGCTAGTAGCAGTGCCAGGAGTGTGCTAGGGGCAAGGTAAGAACGAAAGGTGAGAAAGAAATCCGAGACAAGCTCGTAGTCCATGAAAGAGGCCGAAGATATCTGTGCCACAATTCGTGCTGGGGTAGCAGCGCTGATTTCTTTTGTGCCGGCAATGTAGCGCACAACCGATTCTTTGTCCATTTCCGAAGCTAAAATCTCGAAGATTGAAGGTTCAATAGGCTCCTTGGGCTCGTAGAAGGCCGAGTGCTCGTTGATCGCCGCTCGCTGGGGCATCTCAATGGCACCAGTTCCAGAAAAGAAAGAACCGACGAAGGAAGGCCGCATTGGGTCACCGATATAAGCATTGGGCGCCGCAGTGCCGATCCAGTAGTCTCGGGGGATATTTGAGGCGCGCATGTCAGTCGATAGAGATGTCCTCACATATACTGAGCTGTGCAGCGGTGCTTCATTGTCGAGGTTTGGTGGCGACCAGCCCAGATGGTATGGAATCAGGGCGCTCTCCGATGGGCGTCGTAGCGGTTCATCAGCAGTTTTAGGTCTGTCGGCTGCTTGATCGATGAATATCTGAAGCTCTCCCGGGCGACCTGCACGTAGCTCGGACCATTGCTCGGAGACAGTGGAGAATGAATGCGCTTTACGAGGCCGAGGGTGGAGAGGAGGATGGCGTTGGGAGTGTGCTGATTCTGTGTCGACCGACTCGTCATCCTCGGGGTCTTCTTCTGGAATGAGATCTGGGCGAAACTCCGAGAGCTGTGAATTCGACCACCTAGAGGGCTCGGTCCCACCGCGTCCAGTATGTGCGTGCGGCTGTAAATGATGCTCTTGGCGAGATTTATCCAGAGAAGGGGCGGAAGGCGCCTGGAAGGGTTCTTTGATCGATGGGTTGTGAATCGGCCTGTGAGGTAAAGTGTTGGAAGGGTTAGCTCCTTGCCCATGAGATCAGCATGACCGAATTCGGCCAGCCACGGACAAACATTACCTGAGAAAAATGGTCCCATTTTGGCCAACATTACCCACTGTGAAATGATTGGGCTCCCTGGATGCTGGTAGGGAGTCGCCGGCAGCCTTAGAGGGATTAGCCCGCTTGAAGGAGCGCTTCCGCAGGAGCTCATGACTATCTTTCACGCGCAGAAAGGAGGTCGCTATCTGCTCCCGAATTGTTTTGGCGTTCGCGGTATGTTTGTCCATGGTGTTCGTGCCGTGTGTTACAGTGTGGGCGCGTCGAAGATCGGATGTCGTATATCGGGTATCTGCATCTCCGTATGCGGTTTCCTGAAGCCCCGGTTCAACCCACGTCGGACAGATGCTTGTCTGCAGCTGACCCGGGGTTCCTGCAGCCTCGCTTGAACTAGATGCCATGGCAAAAGCACCCTCCAATCGTAGACGTGTGGTGGAGGACCTGTATCAGACGAGAAAAGCTGTTGTTCCACCGAATTGGTGGAAAGTCGCCAGGGCTTGGAGCGGCGACCTAGCAGGAACGAGAATACAGGGACAGTCCACGTTGGGATCGCAATAGGTGCCTGCGAAACGACATGACCAGGAAGCGTTCACGAGAGGGGTCGTTTATCGGACGCAGCGAAGACGGAGGCCGAACATTGGCGACTTCTGTCTGCAGTAGCACGAGAAGCGCGACAGTCGGAGCAGGTTCGGCACTGAGATGGAAGGGGAAACAACCTAGTAGCACGTCCGGGGCGATTACTCTATGTACGTAACCGGGGGTCCTGGTAGATAATAATAGAATACCAAGACCGTGCCTGAGAAAGCAGAAGCAGAAGCGAATGTCAGAATATCAGGGGAGGGAATAAAATGATGGTTGAGGCTACCAACAAACGAAAAGAAAAGATGAAACGCCAAAAGAAGAAAAACGACAATAATGATAGTAATAATAATAGTAGTAGTGATAATGGCGACGGCAATAATTAACAACTGACCGAGGATGGTGTAAGAATGTAAGAAGAGGAAGGGAAATACGTTCAAGGTTAGAGCGCACACGGGCTGCTTATGGACGGAGATGGTAAATAAAAGAAAGATGATGGATGGATGGATTGGATGGATGGATGGATGAACGGATGGATGAATGGTGGAGGCGGCGGCGGTAGTGTGGAGAACAGTTAAGTTAGGGGAGGGAAAAGCCCATCAGTCACTGGCCTTAGGCCCCAGTCAGGTTCCGGTTCCAGCAGGGCGGAACCCAGAACCACCCAAAACCACTCAAATCACCACCAAACCACCACCCAAAGCAGATTTTTGGGGCAAGGCACAACAAGGTGAGAAGAACCATGGATTCCCGACACACGGGCAACGTGGTCTTCTGCGGAGTCAAGACTTCATATGTCCTTACCTAAACCTACCACCAGTTGCTCACTTCCATACTGCCAACTGCCAATTTCCACATCGCTACCTACGGAGTACCTTGTTTTTCCATCCTGCTTACTTGCTTGCTTTGTCCTCCACCGGAGCCAAAGCCGGCCGGCCTCCTTCGCTATCTCCTCCTCCCCCCCATCGTCATCTCCTTCCAGCAAGAACCACACCAAGGTTGATCAGATAGGCCGATCGACCTAACAGATCGTAGGATAGACAACTCTACACGCATCCACTGAGAATTTCCTAGTTGAGACCACTATCGCTTAATAACTACTACCTCTAACTAACTAACTAACCACCTCTGTCAACTTGTTAACTAATGGATGGAGAATTTAATTTATAGGGGATCCGTTGACGAGTCCTTCTTGATCAGGGTTGTCAGGTCATTTTCAACCCGTCATTCCATTCCTGAAGAGGAAATTCTAGTCCTCAGCCTGGAGCCCAGGTCCCCGGCGGGCGGCGGAGATTGATTGAAATCCATCTTGTCTAGCCAGATTTCCTGGGAAACCCACTTGCAGCATTTTCTACTCCCGAGCCCCGACCTATCCACTCGACTCAGCTGAGATGTTGTTGGAAAGACAACAGGACCAAGACCCGGGCAGGAAGCAAATCTGACACTGATCGAACATCGTGCATGAGGAATACCAAAAACCCCCGATACGAGGCATTCAAGTCGATCCATCACAACCTTCCAAGGGAATGTGTGGATGATAGATCTGACCTGCAGTTCCGCACGCGAATCGTAGATTCCACTTATTTTTCTCTTTTGTCCTCCACTTGAGCGAGGAAAGATCGCATCGCAAAAGGGGCAGGGATGCACACGGCACGAGTCAAAAGGTAAAAAAAGAAACAGAGTCAGGGCAAGACTAACAAAGAACTGCGAGAGGAGAGAGAGTGGGCCAAGCGAAGTGGATTAGGGATGACCTTGGTCATCCTCCCATCGTACTGTATCCGTAGTAGGGCAGTGATCGCAAGTTCTTTGCACCAGCAGTCGGAAGAATCATGATCTGATGAGTGTTCATTGCCCCAAAAAAGCAAATGATAAAAACGATTATCAGGCAAATTTATGAGCCTATCATTTATTACACTTGGGGAGGTGGAGGAAAGCAGAAGCCGCTGAAAAAAGGGGGGGCAGGGTGTCCCACTCCACAACAGTGCTGCTGCTGCTGCACGCCAGGGATGTTCAATAATGCTCAGTCGGGACTCGGTGGTAGACTAAGAAATGATCCATGATCAAGCTTAGAGCCGTTAAGTGCCATGAATGGCTGCCTCAAGACTGTGGAGAAAAAAAAAGTCGCGCTGACAGCCCATTTCTGCCGCTTCCGGAACCTGGAACCAAGGTTAGTCGGCTGAATGTGGCTGACCGTTAACTCTCTATACTTACAAAGTATAAAAAATCGCTGATCTCCAGCCGATCCGGTCAGTCTCAGCCAGATTTACCGGGAGGTGCGGTCTTTGTGAATCTGATCTTTCTTTCTCGCTCGAGTCGTTGTTGGGATTGATTCTTTGCTTTTGTGCGTCAGCCGGAGCAAGTTAACTACAGCCCCGTAGACCAGGGACATCTGCATGCAGGCCAAGCAAGGTTCAGTCGATTTTCGTCGCCTTGCTTTAAAAGTACCAATGCCTGACATGTGCTCCACTTTGACATTCGAGTCAAGCCCCGATTTGCCCGGCGCCGGGAAATTTATACATCACCTCCAGCTGGTTTGACAACATATCATACATATCATCGAGGATTATCGCTACTGGTCATGATCGGTGCGCTAGAACTTATGACAAGTCAATTGGATTCTTCGATATTTGCATGACTTGACAATCTACTCCGTATGGAGTATGCAATCATGAGCTGACTACTCTACCTGACTCATTGGTGCATGATCCACGGGTTGCTTCATACATTTCTCATCAACCTGGACTCCAGGTGACTGTACAGCAGCCCAGAGATCAGTACTCGTGTACACTTCATGACTCCCTCCACATGATAGATAACTAACCTACAGAATGTAACCTGATCGATCTGCAGACTTGCCTGCCCAAATTTCAATCTGTACTGAGATCTCAAGAGATGTTTATCAGCTCTCACTTCGTAGAAATTGCCTTGCGCGTCAAGGATATTTGCCCGCTCGCAGTCTGAACTATACTGATTACGTGGAGCATACATTGAACTTGCAGCCATAACGAAGAAGCACTTATTACCACTTTCGCCACACTCCTGCTAAGGAATCTTCATGAAGGAGTGATTTTATAAGCTTCAAGTATGATTTGACCGCGGCCATCAATGGCGGCCAGAGTGAAAGCCGAACCACCTTGCACATATATCGAAGCCTTTGAAGATTACTACTCATAAGGTTGTGTCACCCAACGCAGCAATTGATCGGGTTACCATGTGCTTGCAGTTACATGGTCTCCATGGTTCCCCTACATGAACTCCTTATTATTGCATCAACCACGGCCGCTGCCGCTGTCTATAGACCATAGCGTAGTGGTTACACTGGCTTCCTTCTATGCCTGATGCTTTGCATGCCTCGATCCATCCATCCAAGCCAAGTAGGCAATTGAACATGCTCGAAGACCCACTATATATTCTGAGAGGAACAAGGTTTAACCGCACCTTTGTATCGTGAGTCTTGTCAAATGCTCGACATTCTTTTATCGGGCTCAATGGTTGCCTTCACCGTTGATAGCTTCTTCCTTTTCCTACTCCTCTGCTGTTTCCTATGTCTCTTTCTATTTAACCAAGAGCACTGTCTACCTCTACCGCGTGAGCACCCGGCTTTGCCTTCTGCCCTTCATACCCGCCTCACTCGCTCTTGGTTTTCTTGCAGGGCTTCCAAGTTATCAGCAATTTGAGGTCTCAGGGGTGAGGTGTATGGAACGTGTTCTCAATTCTCTTGGTGGTTGGAACTAACGTATCAACATGGGAAGCAACTTGGCAACGCGTTGCATCACGTGGCCGGATTACTCAGCTGCGCTGACACAAGTCCTCAACAATTCGACTGACAAAAGGAGCATCGGATCTTCATTGGCCCAGACCCGTGCTGAACCACTGCATACTGTCTCCAAAGAGCCTTAGAAGCTCAACAAACCACAGAAAAGTCAACAACCTGACTCTATCCTGTGACCGGCCACGCTCGGTACGTCACGGGCAACACATGGGGACTGTGTTAGAGTGCTCATGCTCCTCAGGCTATCAGCTGTGCTGGAAGAAACGCACTGGAGCCGCATATCTATGCAGCACAGAAAAAGAGTAAACGAAACACCATAAGCTTAAGGCGGCGAGGATATCTCTCCGTCTCTCGGGTCAGCGCTCTCTCTTGGGTTATATGAGCGGCATAATAACAAAGCCCAGGAGATATACATCTCCAGATTTACTCAAACAACCCCAGCCGCCATTCATCCAGCATGCTTGTAGAGAGTCGGACGAGGGCGAACCCACCCTCACACGGCCTCTAATTCCAGGGAGAACTACAGGAAGACCATGTAGACTCGCTCAGCTGCTAGCTGAACTCCCCCAGGTCAAGATAAGTGAGTGGCTGGATGCCCCCCCCCCAGCACAGAAAACCGGGACTGCGGCCACGGCTACATGGTCAGACTCTGTTCAGGCTTGTGAAGCCATATTCATGACTGGAAAGTTTTGCACAGCCTTTCAGAGCTATCTTAATCCCCCCCCGGCGCGTGGTCTGCTCCAGGCGATTGGACGGCTTTGCTGATAACTTGCTTAATGTCGTCTATCGAGGCTTACTGTCTTATTGGGTAACGGCCCTCTGAGTGGTGGAGAATGGCTATACTGGTCGAGGAAGGAGTATGTAGAACATCTGGATGAACGGCTCGGGGACAGTGGATGCCGCTGGCGCTGCTCACTCACTCCCAGGAAATGAATCCGGCGATCGATCGGGCTCTACTATCACACCGAGGGGGGAGGGGTGGGAATAGAACGGTGGTAGCGTGCAATCATTCGCTTGTGGTGACGTGCAATGTGACGTGCGATGTGGTTTCAAAGTTGGGCTCGGAACCCTCTTCCTCGAGACGAGAACCCGACCATTGCACCGCAGTCGGGAGTGTGCTGGTGAAGACACCGGGTGTGCTTGCTAACTCATGTCTATACGCTCAGGGGGTCTGGTAGACGGTCCGGAGGAAGTCGGAGGCGACCCGGGCGTGTACCACTATCCATCTGATTGATCTGTGCAATGACGTGGTGACTCCTACTTCGTCTAGCGAGCAATGACAGGGACATAAACTTCTCACATCTCGGCATTGCTTTGGAGCCCAGAAACGTCGGAAAAACTGCACTTGGCTGGCAAAATCTTGATTAGCTTGTTATCAGGTAAGATGTGGATGGTGAGAACCTTTGCTATTGTCTTTTGCCAATGAATTGTATGGCTGAGTTATCACAGTGCGTTCCTGCGTTGATGATTCCCAGGGGAGCCCTTCCTGGAACTCCCTGGCAATAGGACGAGATGGCTGTAGTCAGGAGTCACTGGTACAGAGTAATGATTGACACTCTTGAGCAAGACTACATATCTCTTAGATGTCAGATGAGTTACTCTATAGCCGCACTGGACACATGCGAAAGCAGAAGTCTCCCTGAGCTTGGAGAAAGGACAGATCAAGGCCCCCGGGGGCCAGCAGACTAGAGACCCATGAGAAGTCTCAATTACCCCTGCAAACTAAGCTACTGCTAGCCTTCGAAGAGCTCATAAAATCGAGGTTATTCTTACATCTCATCCCAGGTTTGTGGCCGAGTGGTCAAATTAGTGAAACAAGAATCAACAGTGACTTAGGTTATGCCCCATCGCTGCCGGTTGGAAGCAGAGCGCTTTAACCAGTATCCTGCCATCGTATGTTTTCCACCGTCATAATATATTATTCATGAAACTGCGCTCAGCACGTAGCCCGAGTGGGCTGAGTGAGCCACTAAAGACTTGTATCACCCACCCTGTGGCCGCATGTGCTCAGTTGGTGGAAAGGTGAGCCTATCTGCTCGGGACTAGCCAAGACTCGTGCTCTGTGTTAGGTCTTCCTGGTAGATGTTGAGAAAAGTTGCTGTCTGCAAGATCAACCGTGTGGGAGAGCTTTCCTGGGAAACAGCCATGGCGGAGTCATGCCCAGCTCGGCTCCATGCTGAAAACACTCCGTCGACCGGGTAAAGCAACTTCCAGATTGATGGAGCACCTGGGCTGGAGAATATCTGGCCACGGAAGAGGCATTCACAGAGAGTCATTCGATTCGAGCTTGTTTGGGTATGTACATGGAAGGAGCAAGTACTAGTCGTAATTCTTCTTTGGAGTCGATCTGATCTAGTACCGGGGGGGAGGGTGAGTGCGGGTGCCGCGCAACAGCCTCGTGAGACCTGTCATATTTCAAATGAATATCACTGTCCCATACCGTCTGATCTTGGGCGCTGATTGGTGCGGCCGACAGTACCGAAGCTCTTTTATCAGACACTTCAGGCGGCAGACCCTCATGGCTTTTGATGTTGTTTTCTGTTTACGGCAGAGCCACGCATGTAGATCTCCGCTCCGGGTCGTGTTAAAGTGGCGATTCTGCAAATGTGACCGATCGGAAAACACACATCGTCATTTTGCACAGTCAAAACGGTTCGAAATAGGGGTGTTATGCAATTGTTGGTTTAGGTGGCCAGGACAATCGATACCGGGTTGTGGTGTGAAGGTTCGTCTACCATTGTATGTCAGCGAAAACCACCGGTCAGGAGTCGGACGAGGGGTAATGAAATCAAACGGCTGGTAACTTACAAGGCATTAGGGACCAGAAATAGTAGGCAGCCGAGAAAAAAGAAAGAATGGAGAAGAGGACATAGCTGGCGAAGCCAAGCAAGGAGTTTTCCCTATACCCACATAGAGCGCGAAGGAGGCTGAAGGCATCATTGTGATCATCGGGATATTCGTAGTACAATTGGTTCTTTTCGATATCAGGGGTCCAACGGCCTGGTGGCTGGTTTTGACAATGTGGTGTATCCTGATTGCTACATGGTGTCAATTGGCAATTGTATGCCGGACTTCAAGTAGGCTGAACTGACCTGTTCAGGGGTAGTTGGTTGCTCTGCATACCACTCATTTCACTGGCCGTCCGCCGCGCAACCACGTAATGGCAAAGGATGGGGAAGATGCAGTCAGCCTGAGATAGAGTTTAGTGCGATAGAATCCTTCCCAACCGGAGTGTGTCTGTCAGTTTCTTTATCGTTTATCAGTAAGACATAATGACTGATTTCCCCAGGAAATCTTAATGCACTGGTTTAGGCTAGCTACTCGTAACTACATTATGTACTTCATCAGTTAGTTGAGCTTGTGCGGATGACTCAGCTGTCACAACATGAGCATAAAGCTTGGATAGGGCACTAAAAATGGGTCCATTTTCGCGCGCTGAAGGATGGTTCAAGGTTGCTCGGTAGTTGTCCGTCGCTTAGAGGTAAGTTATTCTCTCCTCCATAGGACTCCACATGATGATTCTCTCGTATGACTCGTAAGAAACACAGCAGAAGCTCAATCGGGTTCTGGAAAGCTTCAGGACCAGTCAGCTCGGCTCGATCCTTGCTACCGAGCCATGGAACGCCTGTGCCATACTTCAAAGCCTCGCGCGCCATAAGAGTTGAAGTGCCACATGCTGTGGGGACTGGTCACCAGAGACGATGAACCGCATGTTCACAACAAATAAAAACAATGTTATGCTCGTCCTCCTGATAAATGTTCACTCATTGCCACCCACAATAGGGTTAAGAGTTGTCAATGAACAATAAGACGACCTTGAAGCTTGGGCCATCTTAGGCACGTATTACCAATCCGACGGCACCACAAGCAGGAAAATTAAGCGATGCTCAAGACACAAAGTACCACCGTTCTGGGTTCATCACGTAAATGCTCGGAATGAATATTTGACTTGACCCGGCCTTCATGGGAGGGAGTTAAGGAGGACCATCGCGGTAGAAGAGCTCGCATGCTATGAACCGCATCCTGACATTTGATGACAGCAGCGTCCCAGGTCACTCAGAGACATCCCAGGGAAACATGGTTAGCAGGCTACGTACTAAAGCCATAGCTGTATCTTCAGCTATCCACTTGACAGGAACGGGGTTTGCTCGCTGAGAATTCGGCGCCCCCGCTTTACCCTGGTCAAGTCTCGGCCGCCCACCGCCCCTGGGCAAACGAAGCCATTGTGATCAACACCAGGATCCCAAAGCTTGCGTTGTTTGTGGCGATAGTGGATTCTGTTGTTCAAGTATTGCTCGAGCTTGGTAAGGAAGACCGAATTATCTCGCCAGCTCCTGTTACTTATGATTTAGTTGTGATTTAAAGTTTGAATACGGGGAAGCCGCGGCATATCGTCCATTCGATTTAATTTATTCTCACTTTCGCTTGTCGATTGGGAACATATTGATAGGGTGCTTACGAGAGTGTTCTGCATCCGTACCGGACCTCACCGACAGAAGTGCGGAGGTTCGAGCAGGAGCAGGACGAATGGTAGGCTCCAGCACCTATAGGTTCAACAAATTACCACGCCATGTTGTGCTGTGGATATTATTAGCGACAGATGAAGATCCCCTGGCCGAAGGTAAGCAAGCTGACAATGCAACCTCGGAGGCTGTTTACCAATGATCTGCCTCTTGCTCGCGTTCGGAAGGATGAGGATGGGCGCACATCACTCCCCTTTCCGGTCCCCAGCGGCCGTTGAAAAAAGCATAGAGCTTTGCATTATTGGTGGAACCCGGATGTAGACCGCATTTTGAACTGACATTTCTTATTTCCCACCACGCGAATGGCTTGAGGGTTCGCCAATGAATGAGGTGGAACAGGCCTCTAACGGGTATGCTTCTATGCATGGAAACCCGGCTGGAGTGTGCCACGCTGCCCGTTAACCAGAAGAGGACCCCCTCCGCCTGTGGGGGTCACAACAGCCTAAGCTGGCTAAGCATAACTGGGAAAATAGGGGTGGGCGAAAGGATTTCTAGGTATGGGAAGGCTTGTCTAGCATGGTGCGACACTCATCGATGAACACAGAAGGGATATAGACTGTTGCACTTTGAGGGAGCTGCAGTCAATCGTTGGACCTGAGGATCGGTCAGCAAACCCAGCTGTCGATGGAAGGAACATATTTCTGAGAATTGGGAACTATGCGTAGCGTAGTGCTTAGGTCTGCGACCACGCAAGAAGGGTAGTTTATACCGTCAGCAACATTAACTTATTTAATTGTTGAGTAGGGGTAAATGTGCCGCGAAGCTCAGTGCGTCCTGTCAGGCCCTTTGATTGCTCCGGGTGTGGGGCCAATGGAAGAGCGCAGTCACTCACTAAGGAAGCCACTCCATGGTGAAACCGCTACCGATTTAAGGATCCAACAATACAAGACGATGCGGAGCACGTGGTTCCCGGGGGGTGCAAACTGTGGGTTTTACTTGGTAATTACGAAAGCAGTCGGTATTGTGACCATTGTGACCCTGTATGTGTTGTGCTGTATATGTGTATCTATGATTCCATCTACAAGTGTGCATCCTCAACCCTCGAATTACCTGTGATATTATCTCAATTGACGAGTTTAGATCAATGCGAGTTATGTTAAAGTTTCGCTGGCGTCACGACAATCTTCTTGCCGGGGGGGGAGGGGGTGTTTGTTGCAGTCAGTACGAGAGAGATACGTAGCACAGGTCTGTCATTCATGCCCCACAGCTATTGAGTCTGCATTCTCCGTCTGTGACCGACAAAAGCGAGCAGTAAAAGTCTTATCAAACCAAATGCGGTCGTGGCTGCGATAGAGTCTTGGTATCTCAACAATGTGATTGTCACCCAGAATTCTCGCGTGAATGCAAGCTACATGTCACCTTCCGGAATGTCTGTGACTCGTTCATTCCTCACGGCTATTCCCTTGCATTGTCTCGAGGAATGCGGCAGGCCTCTATACAGATTGGCAACACTATCTCACGTGCTTTGCGATTAGATCTAAGAGACCTGGCATAGCGCCCGTGGTTTCTGCATCGAGTACGAAGTAGGACAATTGTGAGTGGTCTGACCCATCCCAAGCACTCTGAATCTATATCCCAGTATCTGCCGACAGCGCGAGCATAGTTCATTCAACAATGAGGTCTAAGTTGAACAATAGAAGCGGCGCCTTCTCGGGTAGAGCTAACCACACTTGTGAAAGGTCCATCATTAAAGGTCTCGCAGGGCAGTGGCATGCAATATGGATCCTCTAGGGACAATGCAGCTGCGCGGATGCTGCCGCCCATCAATTAGCATCATTATTCAGATAGACACTTTCCCATGCCAAATCCGGGGTGGATGCCCGAGATTCGCTCCTGTAGATCCCCTCTCCCTGGACCATCTCATTACGAACACTCTGCATATGATATGTCCGGGAGAGGCGCACACCCCCGCTAAGGATTGCATGGAATGCGCAATGTTTACCTGTTCCCGTCAAGTTTGCCATGCTACTTGATGCTACTCCGTACTTCAGGTAAGTTTCTATCTGTAGGTCGAGTCCGCAACCGGCCATCCTCCGCGAACTGATTGGGACGAAATTGACCTGGTCCATGCCGACGGCTGCTGACTCATAGCTTCCCCTGCCTTAGCGCCCTCCACCAGTGTATTATTCCTTGCTTGGCAGCTCTGATGAAACCGGAAACCTGCAATCCCGACCGACTCATCTGCGTGGTACTGTATCAACACAGAACAGATTACCATTCCTACCATACTTACCATACATCCGTCGTTATCATCCATGTGATTAGTAATTGGGCAACCTGGGCACTCGGGGCAATCGACTTGTAACTGCTCCGGAGGTAAACTATTGATAGGTCGCTTCGGAATCATGACAGATCATGATCTGGGTGGGATAAAGTTTGGCACTCCAAAGGTTGTTGGACCAACCTACCTACGGAGTACCTACGCTAGGTTCGTGCGCCGCCTCCTGAATCCCGATACTGTTGCCTACTTGGTCCTAGCATGGCGCTGGATCAGTTCGAGGTTCGCTCTTTCGACTGATTATTGAAAGGATCGATAGATGGATCGATAGATGAAACTGCGCCTAAGCCTATTAGCTAGCTGATGATCGAAGGCCTTTTTGTCTTTGTTCTTGATCAGTCGAGCTCCTCGATGCTGATGTATACGCTGATTGTTGATTCAACAATGTCGGGTAGGTAGGTCCAGACCTGTACGCTGTTGAATAGATTGACGATGATCTGCTCCCAGTCTGGACATGATGCTCGGTGAGCCAAAGCAGCTCTAACAGAGCATGCCTCTTATATATTTGCCGGGTGGCGACCTACAGTGGGATCTCTAGCCATCGGGATCTACAGGGCTCTTGTGTTGGCTGCTGAGCTTAGAGCTAAATCACCTACGACTTCGGAAACCTAGGATTGACCGCATGAGAACGAGACTTCGACTCCACCAATTCACTGGAGCTAGCCAGGGAGACTGGGAGACTGTCTTTGTTAGCAGCTTAGGTCGTGGTCAGCACCTTCCAAGGTTTGCTCCATGCGCTGTGAATAAGGTTCAGTATGGTTCTAAGGCAAATATACGTCGATCCGTGCATGGCAGCGCGGTACTCCCGTGCCTCGTGGCGTTGTGTGCGAGTAGTAAGAGAAACTATGTTTGGATAGTGTGGAAGTCAAGCTCAAAACACGGATAGGGCTACCTGAAGGTGGAAGAGAAAGGCGATATAGGGGGGACTTAGGCTGGAAAGTCATTGTCTTTGTTTGAATCATACGATGACGAAGCTGGTTCCGGTCGGTAGTTGGCATGGTTAGACCCTCATGATACTGCAGTCTACTGCAGACCCATGGCATGGGCATAGGTCATGAAACCTTCACTGGGTCTCAAGAGGAGAAGCTCGAGTCAGTCGGAGCCAGTTGAAGTACAGTACAATACTGGTAAGTGCTGGTAAGCGCTGGTAAGTGCTGGTAAAGCCGTGTATGTATGTATCAGTATGGTCACAGTGCTTGTTGTATGGCATATTACATTACCTAGTACTATCTCCAATCGGCTCGAATCAGACTAAGAGCGGGCGAAGAATCAAGTGGTGGATCCAGGCCTCATCCACCGGAGCCACTCGTATTATTGCTGTGCCGGTGCCCCTCTTAAGTCTTGACATGACCGAATCAACTACCTAACCTACCGGAGTCTAAGGAGTCTAGCTCTCCGCTCGCCATGTTATCTCCTCTCCACTGCTACCTACTAGGTAACTGACACTAATTGCATAAGGGCTTACTTATGGCTAAGTCCCTTAGCACCACCGCTACCACCTTCACACTCCCTCAAGACACCCTCACACTTCTTCGTCTTCTTCTCTCTCTCTCTTTCCCTCTCTTTTCCTGTTGAGTTTCTCACTTCCCCTGGGACGAACGAAGTTGAGTATCTTACCACTCATCACTTGTCGTATTACAAGTCTTACAGGCGCCGCGTCAGGGCCATTCAGGATCCAAGAAAACCCACACCCACCGACTGAACTGACCTTGCTAGCAAAAGCACTGCGACCCACTCCGATCGGGATTACTGGAATATCTCAACGAACTGCGCGACACCTCCGTTACCTCGTCCTGTCCACCAATTACTCTTTCTATAGACCGATCTGCTGCTTTCGACAAGGATACTTCTCCTCCTTCATCCTCTGTGCTCCTTTCTGCTCCTTCTCTACAATTCCCTCCGTCTCTCCCATCAGCTGTGATATGGGAGTAATGCACATCTTCCTCCTACGCCAACTCCGATTTTGATTACCTTCGACTCTTCTCTCATTCAGCTGGAATACACCCTCTCCTTCGTTTTCAGATTCAACAGGGGTATAGCGAGATAAATATATCGTCGCACCTATCTCGCACTCGAGTTTCTCAATCCCTCTTCCTGTCGCCAACATCGTTGCGCTTATCAAAGCCCCAAAGTCGCACGGAGCTGTAGCCGTCGAATCTCCCGTTCTTGCCAACCAACTCGCTTCTCCTTAAAGCTTTCTTGCCTTCGAATCCACCTGAATACTGTCGAGAAATTATCCACAGCGGACTCTCTGCGCGTGGAGATAATCGTCGTATATAGGCCGCCACACAAGACCGATACTTGAAGGAAGTGTTGAGCCAGCAGCCGCGGATAGTTCGGCGAAAATAGAATATCTCAGTGTACGTACAAATTTCCCGACGCCTCTCGCTGCTGTTGCAGGAATAAACTCGGTGGAAGCGTGTCTAATCTTACGCTGCGGATATAGCAACTCTACCCCTCCGCTTGTCAGACGTTTTCTCTGTTCCCGAGTGTAAGTGACTTCATCTTGATCCGAATTTTGAATGGCGGCATTGCTTCCCCCACTTAGAGTCAGATCTGCACCTGATACATGTTTCGAGTGTAACCCACTTGACTGGTCATTCCTCGCAGCCTGAGCGCATCCCTGATTCAATTTCAGACCTGACAGTCTTTGCGCGCATCTTTGGATGAATTTCCGGAGTCACTTCATTAACACAACGGAAACAGACACTTCTTTTCACATTTGTCAGGAATCAATTATACCATCGCAAAATGGGTTGTATGAGTTCGAAGCCCGTAGATGCGGGAGATAAAGAAGCCCTCCAACGGAATGTGAGGATAGAGAAGGCGCTCAAAAATGACAAGAAAGTGATGGACAGAACGATCAAAATTCTTCTCCTTGGTAAGTATGCGCTTTGGCACACGCCGATGCCTGGTTTGTTCTTTGCACTGACCAGATCTGTCCAGGTGCGGGAGAGTCCGGCAAGTCAACAATCATCAAACAGATGCGCATCATCCACTCGGGAGGATTTCCTGAAGACGAACGAATTCAGACTCGGGCGGTAATCTACTCGAACCTGATTATCGCCTTCAAAGTTCTATTGGAAATTATGCGTACAGAGAGCATTGATTATCAACTTGAAACAACTAAGGTAAGTTGACCCTCAAACCGATGAAAATCATTATCCAGGTCCACTGCTTGGATCTGACGGTCCAGAAACTAATTACTAAACTCATGGGCTTAGTCGCTGGGTGAATTTATTGACAATCTGGAGCCGGATGTGGGCTCCGATGAAGCATTCTCGGATTTGAAAGTTCGTGATGCTTTGAGGGATATTTGGGACGATTCAGGCGTTCAGAAGGCAGTGGCTCGAGGACATGAATTTGCGCTTCATGATAACCTACACTAGTGAGTGGCGAATGACGGCTTAGCCTAAGCGACTCAACTAACCTTCTTTCCAGCTTTTTCGAATCCCTTGACCGGATATTTACTCCCGGTTGGCTCCCCGACAATCAGGACATGCTACAAGCTCGGTTGCGAACGACAGGAATAACGGAAACTCTCTTCGAACTCGGTCAGATGAACTTTCGGATGATGGATGTTGGCGGACAACGATCCGAGCGCAAGAAATGGATTCACTGCTTCGAGGGTGTGCAATGCCTCTTGTTCATGGTTGCCTTATCAGGATACGATCAATGTCTTGTTGAGGATCAGAATGCCGTAAGTCATGGTCTCATTTTATATGATCTAGTACCATCTAACCATTTTGTGCGCACAGAACCAAATGCATGAGGCAATGATGCTATTTGAATCACTTGTGAATGGCGAGTGGTTCAAGCGCAAGCCCATCATTCTCTTCTTGAACAAGATTGATCTCTTCAAGGGGAAACTTCAAGTTTCGCCTGTCTCTAATCATTTCCCCGACTACAACGGTTCGAACACCGACTTCGATGCAGCAGCAAGATACTTCGCCGACCGCTTCCGAGGCATCAATCGGATTCCAGACCGCGAGATTTACATCCACTATACAAACGCCACCGATACCACTTTATTGAAAGCTACCATGGATTCCGTGCAAGACATGATAATCCAGAAGAATCTCCATACCTTAATACTCTAAGGTATCACTAGGCATGACTAATATCTAATGAAACATTCTTGCGGCCGTGGGATCTCCATCTCCCACGAGATATTATTGATATTACCTTAGCAGCATTACTTGTGCTGTCCGCAACTGCTCGACGCCATTCTCTTCCCTTGTCATTCTCAAGATCGTCCTTGGCTCGCTTGGATGACTTTCTTATCACCACGCTCTTCTCTACTGAAAAAAGCACGCATCTCATCTTCGATTCAGCGGCGTGAATCTCCTTTCTAATGCAGATTGATACCATATACCACATAGTTGTGTCTGTGTCTGCGTCCTTAGCAACACCTTATGATTTCGTTTGGCCTTTATTTCCAATGCTTGGCCTCTCATTGGGTTCATCGGTCCCATCTCTTTCTTCAATGTATCTACTTCATTCTCTTATTCAGTGTTACATAAAGGACAACATTTTTTTGTTGAGTTGACGGCAATCATGCACGTCTTCCGAATTTTAGATCACTCGAAGACCTACACTTGTAGTATGTCCTATCTTGGAACGATCCAAGTTTGCGTGGCAACTATTGTACCATGCGCATTGCCAATGGGCCCATTGCGAAAGTATAAACAGCACTTTTCTACTTTTAAATCCCAAACTGCTAAGGTTTCTTTTGTGTGGTGGTGCGAACAACGCAGCTCACCTGAGCCCTCTTGGTGGGAAGCAACAACTTACATGGTTACTACCGCCAGAGATACGGAGATCACAGAGGCTGGGCATTGTAGCCATTTAGTTCAGATTGAGTGTGTCAGGTCAAAGGTGGCAGAATCTGTTCTCTACCTCGAGATCATACAAGCCTTGATATCACATGACCTGCCACAATATCCCGCAAATCTCTGCTGAGCTAAGCAGAGATCCGCATGATCGGCTCATCAACTTCAACTTCGGTTTCGCCTCTTACGCATCCGCCAAGTTCGTTTACCCAGCTTCTGGGACCTTACGACGCTTTGGAAACCAGAAAAATGCTTTCTTCCTCGCTGCGCCGGGCGGCCTGGGCCCCCATTACCCCTATCTCAGGCGTCACTCGCGCCTCAAGCCAAACTCTCACCACCTCCGCGAACAACCTCACCGGCTCAACGCAGCCTGTGCGTCAACGGCGCTACTCCTCCTCCTCGTCCTCGAATTCTAGCGATGGCGCAAGGAAGCTGGAGTTGGAAGTGAACTCAGGGAAGTCGACCCGTCGGAGTCGTAAGGACAATGTCCGCACGGGCTCCAACAAGCAGCAGCAGACGGCATTTTCCCGACTTCCCAGCGTTCCCTCGACCCAGCACCTCCTCCCGCATGGTAAGCCAGCCAGCCAGCTCGAACAGAGTTTCCACTTTCCAAAAGACAAACTGCGACATGGGGGGAAAAGCAACGTGAAAAGCTCCCGAAGCCGAACTCCAGCTGCTAACACATTTTTTCTTCTTTTCCATGCAGATGTCCAGGTCGCTTCCTTCTTCTCCATCCACCGTCCCATCTCCGTCTCCACCAGCGTGCCCCCGACTTCCACCTCCGAAGCCTTCGACGCCATTTTCACCGAGCGCAAGCCCGCCGTCGACGATGTGATCTCCACGCTTTCGTCCGCTGTCCACTCCATGGAAGGCGAGGACGACCACAACCACTACCAGGCCGTGCTGCAGGAATTGACCGACCGCAATTTCCTCCAGCAGGGCCAGCAGGGCCAGCAACCCTCTCAAACCATGAACCTGACCCTCTCCATCGAGGAACTCACCAAGCGCCTGCGGCCCTTCCACCCTCCTCCACCCCCGGTCCCCATGAACGAGATGTCCGCCAACAACAACACCACCAGCGAGCAGCAGCAGCTCCTCGCCTCAACGACGACGACGGGTAACCACCACAACAACACGACGGAAACCTACTCCGCCGTCCTGACCATCCACGAGTCCACCCTCCCCGATGGCCGCAAGACCTACCAGGCCCACGCCGGCCCCTTCATGCCCACCAAGGATATGGGCGTCCCCGGGGCTGCACAGGCGCCGCCGGAGATCGTCGAGGCCTACATCGATGTCGTGGACCCCTCCGCCCACCCGGAGCTCAGCTACATCGACCAGCAGGATCAGCAGATCAACGGCCCCATGCAGGCCATCAGCACAAAGAGACGTCGTCGGTTGAAGATGAAGAAGCACAAGTTCAAGAAGTTGTTGCGGAAGACGAGAACCTTGAGGCGGAAGTTGGAGAAGTCTTAAGAGGCTTCCTTTTTTCCTTCTCCAAACCCAAGACATGTGCTTTCTTTTTGTTCTTCTTTTGTGTCCCGTTGCTTTGATGAATCCGGATTCCCTATTTCCGGTTTTTTTTCCCCCTCCCAACAACTTTTCGAAAGCAACGTTGACCTCTGGTTTCTCTGAATATCTTCCGTTTTTCTTGCTTGACTTGCATGCATCTTATCTCTATCTCCCTCCCCATCAACCGACCTACTAGTCATCCAATTCAACCGACACTTATAGACAATACTATGTGACATATTATCATTATTCTCAGTTCTCAGCTGGTTAGGTTCGTGTAATCGTATGTGCGTATGTGCATACCCACTCTTTCCGGATGTTTATCTATACTCGTAAGCCGATGCGCATGCACCATACCTGGAAATATTTGCCAGGGCCTTGTTTCCCCCTTTCTAACAGCTCAGATCAATTTAAGTGTCAGGATCAATTGATTCAACAAGTACCGACATGACACCCATAGAGTACAGGAAGCAAGCAGTAAGCATGTAAGCAACGCAAAAGATAAAACACAAAGAAAGAAAACCTTTAGCCATGCAATAGTAGATTCAAATATCTACTAACCATTCAAACATCGCCCCCTTCGCCACTTCCTCCCACTAATAGTAGTCTACACTGGCATATAATCTCCTTCTCCTGCTCCAAGGGACGCGAAGAAATGGAAAAGGAGGGAGATTGATATACCTATCCACTAGCCGTCCCTTTTCTCAACTCACAGACCCTGCAAGCGGATCAACTTGTTTCTCCACCACTTGTCGGTAACGTAAATCTTAGGGAATGTTTCCGACGACCAAGACACACACACACACATCACGTTAAAAGATCATGTTTTCTTGAGAATGGATTTCTGGACCAAATCCGCGCTTCACGGTATAAACGATTCGTAACATGGGGAACACTAGGCTTCAACGACGGGGCACCGCTCGCGCGGGTTCTTGTTCACATCTCGTCGTTGCCATCGCCGGTGCGCGCACGAGTCTCACAGAGAACGTGCGGGCGAGCGAGCATTAGGATCGTTCGCTTAGCAGACGGCGTCAATTCTCGAGCGGGAGTTCATGAGAAGGGCGACGATAAGACCGTACAGACCTGATAAGAGGATCGGTGGTTAGTGGTGCCGGAGTAGACATATTATAGATATGGTGGACGTACCCAAAACTTCAGCGAAAATGAGAATCAAAATCATTCCAACGTAGAGACGGGGCTGTTGAGCAGTTCCACGGACACCAGCGTCACCCACAATACCAATGGCAAAACTTTAAGATAAATAGTCAGCTTCTCGGCTCGAAATCGTAGTAAAGCCCAAAGAACATACCCAGCAGCCAGACCGGCCAGACCGACAGCGAGACCAGCTCCCAGCTGAATGAATCCGGTGTACAGCGGCACCTTTTGGTTCAGATCGTTGGCGATAAGGACGGACACGACCAGACCGTAGATACCGATAATACCCGCCATGACAATGGGGACGATGTCTGTTATCACAATCGTTAGTGGCTCAGTTCCAAGTATAGACTGCAGAAGCCTGGTTTCTCCTCCACGGCTGCAACGAAAGTTGAAAAGGGCTTTCAACGTACTCTTGACGATCAGATCGGGTCTGAGGACGGCCATGCCGCAGACACCGACCCCGGCCTTGGCAGTTCCATAGGCAGCTCCGAAGCAGGTGAAGACGATGGCTGAGGTGCAACCCAGCGCACCGAAGAAGGGCTAATGGGCGGCAGTTAGCTGTTTGTACGAGGAGGTCTTCGTTTCGTGCAAGGTGACGTTGCTCCATTCGTGGAGGACCCGACGGTCGCCCGTCGAGCTTCAGCACATGATCGATGAGGGGTGCGAGTCAACTCACAGCATAGACGGGGCTATAACCAAACAAATTAGCACAGTCCGCAACAAAGCACTGTTGGGTAGGATTGATAGCTTATCGCACAAGCTATGCGTTGGGATGTTGGGAAAAGGAGTCAACCAGGGTGATTACGTACCAAAGTTCGGTGGCCATTTTGTTGGTCTAGATGGCTGTTTGGAGTTTGACAGATGCGAAGAAGCTATAGGAACAGCCGAGAAAAGTGAAAGTAGGGTAGATGAAGGCCGCGTCGACAGCGATGAGATGAGGCGAAGGCGTGGGAGAGCTGAGACGGAGATGGAGGCTTGCAAGGCGAACACGCTGGTTGCTTCGGAGAGGTTCACCGACCACCTGCGCTACCACGTGACCTGCGGCTTGGCGCTTTCCCGCATCATTTGCCCCAACCACTGACATCAGCACTGGATCGACCTAACTATCCGCGATCTCTACGAAGTACTATGCTGCATTCATTATACCCCAATTCATCAATACAATATTTTACATGGCTAGCAACCATTCTATATGATCCGATCATCAGTTCAGCTCTAATGCCACCCGACATCCTGGAATGTCGAACTTCGAGCTCGATTCGTGCACTTCCCCAGTTGACTCTTTCCTAGCCATGGGTTGCACGTAGGTTATAGCTTTCTCCGACAGCCCACCAAAGTAGCCAGGTACTACCCGAAGGTCTTTCTGTTCAGCAGATTCCCTTTGCAAAGGAACAGCCTCGGCGTCCGAGACAACGCCGAAATGGAAGGCATTGCCTCCAGTCCGAGATGCCGGCCAATCTGGATGACTAGGTTCAACGGAAACGAAGAATTGGACGTAGTCGCCAGGCCCTGCAGCCTGCGAGAGAGTGGAAAGATCCTCGCCGAAGCCGCGCATCTCGAATGGCGGCGGCGGAGGCGGCGGCAGCGAATTCGTCGAGACTTCCGCATCGCCCGCAGTAAAGAGTCCCTCTAGCCCCAGTAGCCTGTCTTTCTGGGTTGATTCCATGAATGTTGTTTCAGGGTCTAATGATAGAAGGCCCTGTTTCTTGCCCCATCCTCCTCCGCCACTCATCACTCGGTGGAGTTTACCGCCCTTCCGGATCGCCTCGACAAGGCTTTCTTGAGAAGCCTCCTTGCCTGCCGTGTAGCCCTCCTCGGACGTCTCAATTAAAGCCCAAACGGAGACCCTTTGGTCAGTGATGTTGTGTTCGGCAATGTAGCGAGGGAGATCCTTCTCCAGCTCCAAGGAAGCTGGCATGGGATCTTGGGAGTGTTTATCTGTATGTTTGGACAATTGACGGAGGATGTTTCCCATACTGGAAATGACCCTCCTTCGTTGCCCGACGGGGTACAATGGAAGCTCGAAAGAGTCGCTAACGTTCGCTGCTGGTGAAGTGACAATGCAGTTCGACAAGTCCAGCGCACAGTCGAGTGTATATCTCTTTGCAGCAGTATTGTAGATCCAACGGGCTCCAAAGAGAGTATTCTGCTTTCCATTGATGAAGATCGTATTTGCAAGTCGCAGGCCTACTTCATGGATGGATTTCTTAAATCCTCCATTCGATGCCTGAGTATCGCTTGTCGGAATTGAGAATACTAGTCCTGAATCTGTGGCCTCCATGCTTCGTGCCCGGCGAGGCGCAGCGAGCTGACCTTGTACATTGTCCCGACTTACTAACAGCACCGATATCCCGTCGGCTTCCTGGCCGCAGGGGCTTTCCCCATTCTGTAGTGCGTGTGGTCGAGTATCAGGAAGCTTATCGACAATTGCGAAGATAGAATGCACAGGATCGGTGGACCCTGAAAAGAAGTGACTCATCCATTGTTCAGGGAATATGTGAGACGACAACTCGATCCATGATGCGAAAGCGGAGGTCACGAGAAAGATAGGAACATCATCGGATCGTGGTAGAGATTCGGGGTAAGAAGGCGCACTCAAAATGATATCGTCTGGGGTCTGTGGAGAGGTCAATTTATATCCAGAAGACAGGAAATAGAAACGCACGATCGCGCCTGGAGTCTGCGTGAGCCAAGTATAGGCAATGGGGCGGGCACTGGAAGCCGTGTTTGCGACCGACCTTCGAACAATAGAAGGGATGCGCCGATCTGTATAGCGACGACAAGCCAGCCGTGCTGGCAATGAGCGCGGGGCGGACCCAAGCATTAGTAACATAGGAGTAACATGAATACCTCAATCGAACTTAAGATTTTTCGACCAGCTACAAGTCAGGAGCATTGCAACTTGAATGTCATCCTGGCCCGGAAATGCGGAGGGAGCGGTGGATTTTTGGAAGCTCACCGCCTAGGGACTCGGTGCAGAATGATCCTGCCTCTCGATTGGAACTCGTCTTTTGGCCAAACCTGCTTGCTTCATTGCACCTCTTGGCTCGAAATCTAACCATAACATACTGATTTTGTGTGGACCATCGTTGGCTGTCCCATACTTACAGTGGTCGGGATTAGCGACCATCCTGTCATGGCCCATGCCACATACTGTCACGCACATACCAGCAGTCCTGTCAACGATCAAGCGGCTCAAGAAACCTGCCATCCTCGGTAGGATTATGCTTGGCATAACTAATGCGAGGCCGGTGTCTATTGCACCCTTCAATCAGGACTTTTATGCATGGCAATACCCAAAACCGTGCGCGATTGATTGTGTAGATCAAGCATGGGGCACTTCAACAAGGGTGTTGGAGACGCGAAAAGCTTGTTTCCTTCGATTTGCATAACCCGGGCTGGCTATGACATCATTCATCATTGATGATTCTGGAAGGATTCTTCATCATGTCTAGACACACGGATGACTAAATGGCAGATATGGTGTAGATCGATGCAGAGGGGGGCGTTCTTCTCTGCAACCCTCGGGCCTTGCGGCTCGATGCGACTGATGCCTCTGGATATACAAGATGACCAGGGAGAGGGGATGCGCGGCTGCGGCCAGGTTCGAAGCAGATGTGGAAGTGTGCTACCTAGGGATTGTTATAGCTTGTTGCCAACTTATTCAATCGAGAACATCTCGTGCAGTCGCCCGGCCATATGCACCAATGCCTGGATAGCACAAGGCGATTGGCTTTCCAGGGGGGCGATGTCTTCTGGGACTCCGGAACTCAACAATTACCGGCTTCGATTGTTCTCAGGTACAGGCAAAGTTTGTGGTTGCATAGTAGTGATAGTATCAATCTAGCTAATCATAAGCTATTCCCATCTGCCCCACAGGAAGCATGCGATCAGAATGTAGCCAGCACGTTCTCAAGGCCTACCGATCCCAAAGTGACGATGGACTTGTGGTCTATGATTACTCATTGGCACAAACATGAGTATTGTATTTTTGATGGTATCAGAAGCATAAAGATACGTGGGAATGACGTTTCAAGATGTTCAAAGGAATGTGGCCTAGGTGACGCGTGTTGGAAGATAAGATGCATGTGAAATGATTTCACTTCTGTTCCTCCTAGAATAGATCTACACAAATACTCGATGGATATGATTAGTGCACGGAGTAGAAGAAGGCAAACATAGCCACAGCAAAGCCACACTGCTATGTACGAGTATATGTAAAGCAATGATGACGGGTGGACCATTGACCGACAGCTCATGCGAGTGTGATTGTTTTGCTATATTCTCCAGTCATGATTCGTGTGCAGGGTGGTTCATAGGGCTGTCGGGCCCACTAGGTACTTAGTTTGCTGGACCCCGGTCTCAGCGAGGGTTTGGAAGTACTCCTAAGCGTAACTACGTACTATTATCAGATCTCCAGCATGAGGAAGAGTAATTCTACAGATGACCTCACCTCCGAATTAGCCTATAAGGTATTGCGCAGCGTGTTTCGCTCAGTTGCGCCGAGATTGAGTTCCTCAGCCGACCGCCGATGGCGAAAAGAAAGTCGGATATGCCAAGCGTTTTCCAGGCAACCAAATTAGAGATCTAAATAAAACAAAAAAGTTTGCGGGAAAAAGGAACAGAAGGGTTTATTTGTAGGGGACACAAATTGTGAAGACCCGCGGTTCGGTATGGGGTAGGTTCACAATTAGCAATCAGCGAATTTAGTAGTTAGCCAGGCGTTAGCAGGCTGAGGAGAAAACCCCTTACTGAGCGAGGATCTTGCGACTACCGGGTGACATTCATGATGGTAACCTAATCAACCCTCCAACAGTGTACTCAGTGCACTTCAACGTCGATACGACGCAAAAGTCTACCATCATCGATCCTTGGATGGACTGACGCTGCAAATGCTCGCCTGAAGCGTCGAGGCCAATCAGTAACGGGTGTTCGCATCAGCCACAGCAGGCTGAGCAAGTATGACGTAGCATGCATCCCACGAAGCCGTCATACCGAGAAGATCATCTCATCGGCATGGCATGAACGAAGGTTTGGATCTTGGCGGAGTACACTGGCTATGGCTATGGGCTATGTACTGTCAGTACTAGTACTGTGTACGGAGTCGCCAATTTGTCTATTAGCCAGGAATAGGCATTAGACCCAATAGTTGGTCTAGTAGTAGGTACCGTGACGCCCTACGCCCTGCTCCCGAAGTGGTCGGTGCAGAGCCAGCGGGCAGTTGCTTTGCCCACCCAGAATTTAAAAGACTCCTGTGGTCCCGCTCCTTCCTTCTCCCTTCTCTTCTTGCTCTTCTTCCCTTCTCAATTTCTCTCACGTCTTTCTTCACCTCTTGAGACTCTTCATTCGCATCAAGCCTCCAGAAACCAACGTTCCACCGTCATCGATAACTGTTCCAAGACAGTCACTCCACCCTCCCATTCACCATGCCTTTCACTGCTTCGTAAGTCACTTCCACCCGCAATGACCCTTTTAAGTGACCAGGTAGCTTGCCAGCGGTCTGGACTTTTTATGATGCAGTTCAGCCCAGGCAGCTTCCATAGTACTTTACCCGACAAACAAAGAAACACCGCTAACACAGGTCTTTTTTCTGGACAGTGACGTCTGCAAGATCATCTTTGCGATCATCCTGCCTCCTCTGGGAGTTTTCCTCGAGCGCGGATGCGGTGCTGATCTGCTGATCAACATCTGTTTGACAATCCTGGGTTGGCTCCCTGGTATTATCCACGCGCTGTACGTTGGCTTTCCCACCACTAGTTGAGTTGCTGGGAACGCCATTGCTAACTAGCGTCTGCAGTTACATCATTTTCAAATACTAGACCGCCTGCTTGTTCACCGCCCGATCACCCGGTTCAGTCGACCAGCATTCTTCGTCCCACAATTGTATCCCCCATCAATTGGCAGTCAACATTCCAACTGAACGGGGGGGAGTGTTGTCCGTGATGTTGTCAGCTTCTAATTGTTCCGCGGGCTTCCGACCGGCTCTAGCCTAATATGACCCCGCCAATTAACCTACCGTCTGCTCATGCGCTTTACTGGATCCTCGAGCTACGCGGGTGGAGATGCCATGTCAAAACACTATGGCGATGGGGTCGGATCTCTCCCATCTTCTTTCTCCCTATGTCTCTGATGTCCGTTTCCTCTGTCGCAGTTCTGTTGTTTTTTCTTTCTTTTCTTTTTTTTTCTTTTCGATGATACCAGCTCATTGTGATACTGGGCTTTGCTTGTACTGTTGGCAATGATCAGCTTCTAATGATTAATGGCAATAATTCAAATTACTTTTGAAAATCTATCGTTCCCCGCATATGTGTATCTGGGTGCACATTAAGGTAGCTGATTGGAAGATAGAGCGGCCTTCTTATTCCCAGACTACACTTAGGCGACGATTGATGGACAGTGGTGAACAGAGACAAAAAGTTGGAGAGACACAACCTCTAAATGAATCAATATATTCAGGCACAAATCAGCGTTCAAAGGTAAATAAAAAGACATTTGTTCAACTAATGCTTCATCGTGAGACCAGTCCAGGAAACAGTACATAGACCCTGAATATTCAAGTCAGCTGACCTGACATCATCCTTCAGTACACTCTGCAGCATCGGCGCTAACACGGCGCGTATCGCATCAACATCACTCTCTCTGCCAGCCCCGCATCCATTCAAAAGCGCTAATCATGCTGAAGAAATCCCATCGGTTGACTACGTGTAGTGCATCTATGACAGAATCACCATGTTTCACACAAGCGCCTACAGGGGGCGCAGTCTCATTGTTACCGTCTCACATTTTGGCCTTGTTGCTTTGCAGCCACTCGGCGCCATCATGAGATCCCGTGTCTCCTTTGACGCCCACAATGACAAGGCGATGGCAAAATGTGGAACACGCGGGTCTCTAATCTCTGAAATGGGACGGTTACCCCCTTGACGTTGCCGACCTCCCTCCACAGAATCAGTTTATCATGTTCTTTTACTTGAGCCGGTGCTAGAAATCTGTTTGTTTGTTCGAGCACTGCATGCCTCTTTTGTCAGTGTCTTTGTCTCAATCTTTCAGTAGAATGGTATCACGTTTCCACTAATGGTTGTGGAGGCAGATGAACCTCTGCAGTGTCTAGATTGATGTAAGAAAGCTTGCTTTCCAATGGCATCATGGAAACATGAAATCAACATGCTAACCTAAATTCTAGGTTGACACAAAATGTTATTGTCTCTTTCTCAATGGCTACTCATCGCAGCACTATCACTTCTTCCATGTCTCGCTTCTACATCGCAATCTTCTTATCCTACCGCGACAGCGTCGGTTTTTCCCAGTCTAATACCCAAATGTGCTCGAGAGTGTGTTGACGAATTCGTAATCTCCGACTATCCGGATGATGCGTGTGGAAAAACATGGAATCTCGACTGTTTATGTCGGACAAATACAACCAGTGGCTATACCTTGGGCGAGGCTGCGTTCCGATGCAGTCTGTCGCTGTGTCCCATCAAGACCATCTTCTCCTCCGACCTCTACGACATTTGCGACTCAGTGTCCGGAGCATTGCCGCGGACCCATGCCACAATAACAGCTACAATCACGACGACCCAGAGTACAACTGCGATAGCCACCACTTCCTCTGAGCCTCACAGTGCCGTCTCTACGGTATCATCTACCTCACTACCTTCTCAAACTCAAACTAGAACCCAGCATACTACTTCTGTTCTTATCGCCTCATTCGACAGTCCGACCACTATATCTAATATCATTTATTCGACGAGTGGCACCTGGACTACTTCCAGCAGGACCACCAGTAGTAGCAATAGTACCTCGACCGCTGCTGCCGCCGCCGCTACAACCACCACGCACAGTAAGCTTAGCGCTGGTGCGGTGATTGGCATATCTGTCGCTTCTGGAATGGCGGGATCCTTCCTCATCGGAGTTCTGGTGTTGTTTTGGTACAGGAAGAACAAACGTCGGGATGCAGAGGCTCGAGATAGAAACTTCTTCGAGATTGGCGGAGTCATGGCGGAACCTCCAGATTTCGCTTTCCCGCCGCGGCGGCCAACGGGACCCAGGCCTATGCCCGGCGGCGTGGACAGAGACTCGGAAACGTCACGCTTGATAACTCCCTTCGAACCAAGGCTTCATAATCCAACTTTTGTTGCAGATACACCACGACATCGGTATGACGGGGATTCCACGAGATTATATAGTCCCCACAACATCGGCTTCGCCATATCTTCTACTGCTGATGCGGAAGCATCATTAGCGCATTCTACTCCACGGACTCTCTCGAGCTTGCTCCCGGAAAAGCCAACATACGGGTTGTATCCGGAGCCACTAAGATGGAGTCGGCAGAAACGGCCCGGCAGTGTGGGAACACTGTTCGAGGAGGATGTCACCAAGCCACGCAGCTTCCTTGCCAGTCCTCGGTTGAACCAAGGTCCATCTACTTGGTCACGCAAACCGCAACCCGACCGGCCTCATAAAAGACCTCCAGTGGCCGGTCTACCCGCCCATCCACGCGCTATGTTGCATGGGTTCCGAGAAGGCCAAGAAGGGAAGCTTGCTCTGAGAGGACCAAATCGGTACCAAGGACCAGGATATGGAAGCCCTGCGGAGACAGCCTCCCTCTCGAACAATGTTGTTGGGGGTTCGGCCCATCCTTCCCCAAGGTTGAGTCACGAAGATTATGCCGATGCATACTGGACAGATCGTGATGCTGGTCACACAAGGCCTGCTAGGACGTCACCATATCTCGATGACAGCCCCGGGGGAGGCCGGCGTTTGATCTACGACACAGACCCAATTCCTTATCACACATATGGCGAAGAACCCCAACCCTTCCGACGCGAATCACGCCATTCGGGAAGTCTGCGGCCCCTCACTCCGGTGCGAGAAATCAGGACCCCGATCCTCGAGATTCCCAACTGGCAATACGAGACTCCGACCGGCAGCCGGATCCCTGTCGGCCTCCCACGCATGCCGAACTCGAGGTCCATCAGCCCTGCGCAAGAAATCGTTTCCCGGCCCCGGATTGTGCGACAGGATGATATCCGGAGGGTGCAGATTCGCCGGGTCACGCCCGAGCCCGATGAGGAGCCGACAGCGGGGACCTACGCGCCCCGTGGTCCCTGGCATGAGGAGGACGGTTATGGTTCGCGATACGGAGCTCAAGTACGCAGGGCGTCCTTCGACTCCGTTTCGTCCGCCGACAGTCTGAGGAGGCCGCCTGTTCCGAGAAAGCCGGTGCCAATGGAGCAGCGCAACCTGACACCTTCGAGGCAGGGCTCGGATCTCATCCTTCGGGTAGATTGAGCGGGCTTACTGCTCGCTTAGCTCGCTCTGGGTAGTGAGTGGGCCGGTCTTTCCTTCTTCAGGGATATCGCTCTTTATGGTTTCTTCCTGTAGAAGATGTCCTTCTCTTTTTTGGTGTATTATAAACAATTCGATCTATGCGTATATTTTTATATATATCGGGATATTGTCGGAACTGCGGAGATGTTTTCAAAGCGTGCTGTCATTGTGTATAAAGTGTTTGTTAGGCGGGTAGGCGGATGGATTCAATAAGATGCATTTTGAGAGCTTGTATCCAGTTTCATGTAACCGTCTAGAGTTCTTTGGGTCTACAAATCAGAGTACAGAGGATTTTGCAAAAATCAGCTTGATAAATGGTTGTGTGCGTATACCTAAGATAGATGGCATTCCTCGCTGTAGATCTTTGTCCTGACTCTACGACCGCATGAGTTTGTCGGGGGTTTTCTTTCCGGTCGGCAAGGTTCAGATCTCACAAAGGCCCGGCCTCACTTGAGTGAGCTATCATTCTTTTTACTCTATCCCAGTTTGATGATGCTTTTCGAGGGGGAAGCTGAGAATTTCTTTGAGGAAGCGGATGTTTGGGGAATACGTGCCAGGTTGATAAAGACAGGCGGGGTTAGCCTGGAAGGTTTATATAAGGATTGACGGAAGCAGTCTCGTGCGCGCTTTATCTTCCTTCTCGCAACCCTAGAAACAGGCCTACTGAGTTGTCTTAGAAGACCTGGCAAAAATGAAGACTGAATCGCCACCACCACCCCCCGCCGCCGGCCCAGTGCCCCCAGAGAAGATGGAGATGATGGATTGTGATCCGGCAATATGGTCTGGGCCAGTTCCGGAGCCACCGGAGCTGGCCATCATCAATCTCCTCAATGAGGCGGGGGTGCCCTGTGTGCTTGTTGGAGAGCTGGCGCTTCGAGCCTACGGCTTGAGTCTTTATCCGAAGAGCATAGATCTGGTCGTCGCGGACGAGAACGCTCGGCGTGTCGAGGAGCTCCTTGAGGGCCGGGGGCTCGCATTGTGTTTCGATCGCAGGTGCTCCCTCTGGAACGAGGGCGACAAATACTTCCTCTCCGAACTACACTGCCACCTCACCGCTCCCAACAACGTCAAGGAGAGTATTAGGGGGTGGAAGAACGGCCTGTTACACATCTGGGCGAAATCTTTGCTCCTGGAGAAGTTGCCGAATGGCATCCCCCTCCCGAGCAACATCGCCGCCCACGACCAGAACTTCATGCTGACCTCCGATTCCCGCCTCCCCGAGCTGGCCCTCGACCTGCTGGGCGGGATACCCACTCGGTGGATCGGCCGTTGGGCGGCGGGAGTCGTGATCCTGACGCCCAAGGCCTTCCTGGAGCAGATGTTCTGGCACGTGCTCCGGGACTTCCGTCCTTACGACGCCAAGTTCAAAAGTCCCTGGGAGGTGCACATGTGCAGGTTCGCGCTCTGGATTGCGAGCCAGCCCCCAGATTCCTATACGCTCTGTCCGAGTGTCGCAACCCTCAGCTGGACAGCCGCGCGGCAGTTTCTTGAGCTGCTGAGCTGTCCTCACGTCGGCCATCAAGACGCCTGGAACTTTTTCTACACGCTGCAGGGCGTGTGGCACAGAGAAGGGCTGCTGACGAAAAGCCCGCGACAAGGCAGGCAAATACTCCAGGCTGTCGAGGATTATGCCCTAGAGGATTGAGTTGCGGCATGGATCGGTACTATTGGTGTCGCCTTTTGACTGGATTGGAGTGTGTAGGTTGGCCTAGTCCGCTTCCTCTGTTAGAATAAGAATGATTCAATAAAAAGAAGTAACAGTACGAATGATGTTTTGCGTCCGTCATGTGTAAGATTTTCCAACCCTTGTAATACCCAGTCCCAGTAGCCTGCTGTGTTATCTCTTTGTTGGACAGTGTAGGGTTTGACTGACTTCTTGAGAACCATCCCTGTAGTATATAGCTACATGGTAAGTCTGAATCCACTCGACTACATACATTACCTACACAGTGGATAGGCTAGTGGCTTGGTGGAAAGACCACTAATGCAAGCCCCTCTTTTCTATCTCTGGCCGGCAGGGGGGAAGGCCGATGGGGGCTGCAGTGTCCGAGTCTCCGAGATGTGACCTGACCCACAACATCCCCGCGGAGAGGATATGAGACACGCTGAGTCTGGGAACCGAGGGAAAGAAAGTGACTGCAGTGATATCAGAGTGATATTCTTCTTTGAGAAGTTCCAAACAAGGAACCAGAGCCATGTGAAAATCAATCGGAGGGTAGACTCGGGAGGTCGGAAGTAACGGAGGAAGGAGGAGGAGGAGAAGGAGAAGCAGAAGACACAGAGGGAGCCTCTCGGCTTCGATGACGTCAAGCCCGGCGATCGGTCCTGAGGCAGTGAGGCAGCAACGATCCAATCGGCAAAGAGAGGACTTTCGCATCCTAGGCAGAAGGTTTCACACTTTCACAGTACTCAATTATACACAGGGCTAAACTTGATTGAGTACTGGTTCAGGGGAACCTAAAGACATGTGTAACGTCACCGCTGATATAATAGTCATTGGGTCAGTTAATGGACCTATTAACGTTACTGTTTTCATGGCATGTTTGTACCACTCCACTTTTATTATTGATTGCGGGTAAAAACGCCATGTACGTACGTACTTTGACCTGTGCCTAGAACAATAATGTACTGTACGGAGTACTGTAGTTACACATGCAGATAGATGTACATAGTCATAGGTAGTAAGGTAGTACCTAGTAGTATAGTAGTCTGTACACACACCCATGGTATTGAGCCTTACCACAATCACCTTCACCGCTTTGTGGCTACTCCTGCTCTATGGATTGTTTGTTTGGTTTCCATTGATGTCAACGACTCAACAACCTCTTCTCAACCTCCCCCCCACTTTTCAGTGCTCTCCTCGTCCTCCCCTTGGCTCTTCCCTCATTCTCAACCGCGTTCGCCTGTTCTACACTTAATACTGAGTGTACTATGATATCAATTCCGACGCGTGTTGGATCGTCAACTTCAGTGATGACAGACCCCACGATCTTCCCTCGACCCAAACCGGTCTGCAGCGGGAGGGAAAGTTCAGATGGAATGAATGATCGAATTTGCGCCGAGGAGCGAGTTTGCATCACTCCCCTCTTTCTACAGGACTGATGCATGTCCTTTGTTCGTTATCGTTGACTTTCCCAGATGTTTTGGCGCCCTGACCATTGCTCTGGAACGAATCAGATTCTCAGGTTGTTCCATTCACATCATCATCAGGCATGACATGGGGCGGAGTGGAAGTCTGATACAACCCGCACCATACTTAGACGGACCCTCTTGCTTAGGCCTTCAGCATTCAGCCTTCGACCACCGGCAATGACATACTTTGGTTGCGGTGGGGTTTACATCCAGCTGCAGTGACCACAACACACAAGGAATTCCGACTCACCACTAGGATCGAGCGTTTTCTCTCGATGACGGTACCACGGGCTGGGCTGTACTGTCTGTCCCGATTTTTCGCTACGTGCCTCAAACAAACTACGTAGAGCGCATATCCCAGATGTCCTCCACCCACTTACATATACACTTTTTCCTATATTAATGGCCTCGGGTTCAATGCATTCCCTCTTCGATTCTCAACTTTCTTCCTTTCATATCCACCGAATCAATCTTTCTCATTGCATCCTTGTGCTGGAACCGCTGCGGCCCTCCCGCTGTGATCTTCTGTGTCCACGCCATACTTGTGTGGGCGACTCTGACAAACCCCTCAAAATTCAATTAGACTGTGTACGGAAACAGGTTCTCTTGTGAAATATTTTCTGGCTCCTCCTCAGGATCCAGTGATCGTCTTGTTTACACATACTCAAATCGTTCCGAAAGCTTCGCAGACCTGCGACCAGTTTTCCCCAGGGGCAATTCTCTCAGCGATTGATCGATCTGTCTGGCCAGCTCAGGGCAGCTAACCGTCGACCACTTCTTGTTCTCATCCGCGGGCCCACAACGCGCTCCACCCACCCACATATCATCGTCACCCCGGGACTATCCTGTTCCACTATCCACAATGACTACTACCGACGGTTTCGGTACCCAGAGGGTATGTCGGCTGTCCAGCCTGGATGCTTCTCGGGCCGACCTCTACGGCGGCCCTAATGTAGTCCTCCCTCCCAAGCATTTGATGGCTTCTAGCGATTTCCATGATACAACTATCACAATGGAATTGGACAAGCATCAGTCAGATGTCGAAACATCGTCGGACGATGGTTCTGTGCGCGTTGCGTCCCCAGTGCCTGAGCGACCCCTCACCACTGCTGATCACTTCGCTCTGGGCTTCGACATTGACGGCGTCCTCATTCGAGGAGGAGAGGCAATCCCCGAAGCGGCCGCCGCCCTCAAGTACATCAATGGCGACAACCCGTACGGGGTCAAAGTGTATGTCTCCCCTGCAGCACCTGTTCGCAAGATTGACCGGGCTAACTATTCATCTTCCAGTCCTTACATATTCGTGACGAACGGCGGCGGCAAAACAGAAGAGGAAAGATGTCTGGATCTCAGTCGTCAGCTGGAGTTGGATGTCTCCCCCGGCCAATTCATCTGTGGCCACACCCCCATGCGAGAGATGGCCGAAAGATATAACACCGTACTGGTCGTTGGTGGTGAGGGTGAAAAATGCCGTCATGTAGCCAAAGGCTATGGCTTCAAGGATGTGGTCACTCCCGGAGACATCATCAAGACACGACACGACACCACGCCATTCCGCAAGCTTACCGACGAAGAATACAAGAACTCTCGGGTCATTGACTTTGACAAGACGAGGATCGAAGCAATCTTCGTGTTTGCTGACAGCCGAGACTGGGCTGGCGATCAGCAAATCATCTTAGATCTGCTCCTGTCTCAAGATGGACGTCTTGGAACTCGATCCGAGAAGTTTGATGAGGGCCCGCCTGTCTTCTTCTCCCACAACGACGTGGTATGGTCTACTTCTCACGAGCACACTCGCCTCGGCATGGGAGCATTGCGGGCTTCTCTCGAAGCATTGTACAAGGTTGTTACTGGCAAGGAGCTCTCAACCATCTCTTTCGGCAAACCGCAGATGGGTACATACCAGTTTGCTACCCGACTCCTGCGGCAATGGCGAAAAGAGAGCCATGGCATCAACAAGCCACCGGGCACAGTGTACTTTATTGGAGATACCCCTGAATCTGATGTCCGGGGAACAAATGAGTTTGACAAGACCACGGACACCAATTGGTTCTCGATTCTTGTCAAGACCGGCGTCTACCAGGATGGAACCGTGCCCCGCTACCAACCCAAGCATACTTGTGCCAACGTGTTTGAGGCGGTCAAATTCGCTATCGACCGTGAGATGGCCAAAGACGGCCAAATGCCACTGACTTCCGGGGCTGATTTGGATTCCGGCATCGACTCGGATTCAGCAGCCGCACGTCACTAAATGGAACACTTACGCTACCAACACTACCCATTGATGCTGCGGAAGGTACCGACAAGTACAGTTGGCCCTGATCTTCTGTGGTTCACTTAGATCTTGGTTGGTCAGGGCATTGCAGCATCCTATTTACTCAAGCATGTCTTCCTGGGGCATGATTTCCAGGATTCACTTGAGTCATGAGTTTACGATAGATTCCCTTTGGATGCCACGGGTATGGAGTATGGATACATTGGCTTGTCATGGGTTTGGCGTTCTCTTCCTTTTTTGTTTTACATATTAGGAATTCAACGTGTCACTATAGATAATTTGAAATATTATTGAATCCTGAACTCAATCCGGTTACATCTTCGCAATGGTTCCTTAACTGAGCTGACTCGCCCGCCCCTTGTGTGTACTTTGAACCATATAGTAGTCCATGGCTAGGTAGTCTTAGTAGTCTGAGATCGGGGTAAGATTGCCGCGGATGCTAGACTAGTAAACAGTACACAAAAAGAGAGGCTCGCCGACGCGGGCTGCGAACCCTTCGTTACAGGCCCGGGCACATGCACGTCACGTCCTTCCGACCGAGTCAACAGTCAGGATATGATTTCCCGGACTCGCTCCACCAAGTGTATTTGTCTCCGCGAGTGGCAGTGGTCGGCTAGAGTCTGGAGGTGGAGACGTGGAGACCTGATGGACGGGCACGCTTGGCCTGGGTTTAGCGTATGCAGAATGAGCGCATCGAAGCATGCGGGGTTTACATTCAGACCATGTGTACTTTTATGGGGAAATCGTGGGGTACATACATATGCATCCATGTGAGCTGTATTCAATTCAAGAACGATGGCTGTGCTGATTTGATGCTGTAGGCTTGACTTGTTGCCTGTTCATGGGTTATATCATGATCTTAGAGGGTGCCTGCGTGCGGGATTGGAACTGGGTGAGGCCTGAGGCTGTTTATCCTCCCGATTTACCATTGAGCCGTCATGTTCCTTTCCCCTCCTCCCCCTCCTCCTCCTCCTCCTCCTCCTCACCTTCTCCTTTTCAAAGTGCATCAGCAAGGTAGGTACTACTAACCCCGGCTAGAGCGCTACAACCAAGCTACGGAGTACTAATGACCGCCTCAAAGCTGACTAGTCTCCAATAGATGTCATGCAATACCCCTCTCGATCACTTGCAGGAGCATCTGGTCTGCACAGCATCACTTCTGGGGTCTTGTCCCCGCATCTACAGTACAGTACCGCTTTGGCACTCGCCATACCTACTCATCAATCCAGCGAAAACCCCTGCAACAGTTGTCCGCCAGGTGAGAACCAACCCGCCTCACTAATTCCTGGAGTGGCAAAGACCCAACCGCACCGCAATACCATATCAAGTAATGCATTGGCATACAGCCATCGGACCTGACAGCTAGCGCTTCTCCAACAGAGTGTCCAATCGTATAACCTTCCAACTTGGGGTCGGCAGTCACTCTAACCTTGAATACCATATGAGGCGTACCCCTCGGCTATACCGGAACGGCCCAAGCGTCGTGCAACCAAGCCCCCGGTCATCCTCGCCACACTTAAATCTCACCACTTGCCTTAGCGTTGGAGGGGGATGGCGGGGATCGGGCTGTCATTGACTTTCACTTTACCTTTCCATTGAGCCGGTCCTGGTCGATCACGAAGGTCAGTGTTCCACAGTTTCTTCGTTCTTGGCCGCTTAAGAGGACTTGGCGAGGATGTGCCATGTTCACTCATTCTTCGGTGTCCGAGGTTATCCGGCTGGGATGAGAAGAGCTGCGCCAGGTCTTCCTGATCCCGAATTTTGAGTTCTACCCGGTAACGCTTGAAAGGATTCGATTCCACGTAAGGTCTTCAATTCGGACGTGAAGTATTGTCTCGCAGATCGAGTCAGGCAAAGGAATTGAAAATGCAGACAGAGCTGGGAGCCACATCTCACCGTACACGGCTGCAATGTCTATTGTTCTTCACTCGTCAATAACTGATCATACTACGGTGATTGAGCATCATCAGTCGGATCTACGTCATGCTGCTCAGGGAACATCATGAATTGTCAGGTGAAAAGACTATTTTACAGATCTATCTAGAATTACAGGGAAGCTAAGCGACAGTCGGCTACCAATCCGGCTCTTCCATATCTGAGTCAATGCCACGCCACATAGACGAGCCCCCTCGCTGGATGCCACACATTAACAGGACGGTGTGCATCACGGTATTGTGCATCGTTGAACAGCCTACAAAGCCACGGTGGGAGCCCCAGTCCAAGGCAGCAGAGCACCACCCATCCAACGTTTCGTCAGTTGCTTTTGGCACGAAATGATAGTCGCTGACCGCAGAGTAAATATCGTGCAGTGCTACATCACGGACCATGAGTTGTTCCGGGTACAGCTCCAGGAAACGGTCATTCCGTTCAACATCCAACAACCTGTAGACGCCACGGGAGAAAGTGCATCTCAGATTTCCTAGCTCATTCTCCTCCAGATCCCAGAGCGCTTGGGCTTCGAGGCTCACCCGAAAGCTACAGAAGCCAATTGTGCAGCCCGACAACCGCCAAGGTAGGCCCCATCGATGAGAGAGGAACGCCTGCACTATCTGCTCGTGTGCCGCGCCGTGTATCTCGGGCGCCAAGATCAATGGCCAGCGCGCATTCAAGGTCTCTTGCCGATGGTTGATATGATCCATCAGGATCTTGCTCGACTCGGTGAGGAGCTCCAGCGTGGTTAATATAACCCCGCGCAGCTGCGGGTTGGGTACTCGCGGGGCCTGCTCATCGTCGCCCCCATTGTCCATGAGATCGTATGCCCTATGCCATACCAGCCGCTCGAATCCCGCGACAGTGCAAGTCCACTCCACCTCGACCTGGTCTCCCAAGCCCGGCGGCAGCTGCTCCCAGGCTTCTTCGTTCTCGTCGGGGATATAGACGAAGATGATCAACGGTTTGGCCTCCGGCACACGCGACGGCACGTGGTCCTCGAATTCATATTCGCTTCTATTGTCAAATCCGTCGTCACTTTCGCCAAGGTCTTCTGTGCCCGTGGTGAAAGAATCAAAAGGCGTGGCTCGCAATAGCGGGTAGTCCGGCCGCCACACCGCGTTCCGGTCGACCCCAGGGACCTTGCTCAACCACTCGGCGGTTCTCGCCATTTCGTCCCCGTTGTTCATGGTCTGAGGCCCCGTGGGTTTGGTAGCACCAGCAGGGGCACGGTCTCTGATTACACTCATGGTGACTGTTGTTGTTGCAGGATCCTAGAAATCCTGTTCTGGTGCCCCGGGAGAGGATGCTATAGTGTAGGTGTAGCGTAGGCGTGGCGTTTCTGAACGCTTTCTCGGAGAAAAAGAATTAGCCAATGCTACGCGCACGGTCTTCTGACTTGCGGTTTGGAATATGGTGTCATCTGAGGCAAAGAAACAAGTATACTGATAGATGTCGTTGATGCCTTTCGAGCTGCATAAATCGCATACTCAGGTCTTCTTCTGGTGGTGCCTCTTCCAGCGGGGGCTTTCCATTAACAATATCTGCTTCTTAGTGGTTCATTGGTGTATTGAAAAGGATATGCAGCCGTTGTCATGGAACTTGCCTTCATGTATACAGTAACACGCAACAGCAAAGGGTTGGATCCTGAGGAAGGCGCGGTGGGTTCCTGGGGACGCCGGTCTAAAGGGGACAGGAGTTGTAATGACACGATCAGCGTGCTACATGTACTGACAGGCTCTATGAAAATACCATTGTCAAAATTCACTAGAATCTATTTGACAAGCTAATATGACAGCAAAGGCTGTACTTCTACGGGACAAACAAGTATAATGCCTCATGAGTTGAACACACGCGTGAACACAGAGCATTGAGCTTGTTCGATTACTCCAACAATCCCAAAGCGAAAGATTGTTTAGAAATTTGACACTGTCCGCCTCTTTCAAGCATCCACATTCTACGATCAAATAGAAACTGCAACCACCCCAACTAGATAGGGCTGATATACCTATTTTCTCGGCAAAAGGGAGTACGGATTACCAGCAGCAAAGCGCGACAGGTCAGTAGACCTGGCAGACACTACTAGCAGAGTATTCCATACGAAGTGTCGATTATTTACCAGCCACACAAAAAGGATTCTCTGTTCCTGTCGAAATCAGTGGTAAAGTCATCATCGCGGGTGATGCTCAGCCGACTGGGGAAGAAAAAAAGATGATGCAAAAAGCTAAGGTCGTGCCCGGGTTCGAACCGGGGTTATTGGAACTTTCTGTTCAATTGACGTCAAAATCCAAAGTGATAACCACTACACTACACAACCTGTAGATGTCATACTGATTCAACCAGCGCCCTATAATAAAGCTGCAAAGCTAGCGAGTAGGTTGGAGCTTGATTCACTAATTGGCTTTGTTTGGTGTTGATTCGCGAATGGGGCTGATTTATGTTGTTCGGGGAAGAGTATATTTTTTTCTAAGAGTGGGGTGCTTATTTTTTGTTCAGGAACAGTGGAAGGGTTCACGTTGTGTAGGTGATGTTTAGGAGAAAATACAGATCGAGCTTCGAGTATAGTGTTGCATTGTAGGTGTGATTCTATCTATCTAGTTCCCTACATACACCAAGTGACTAACGCCTTCTTCGGAAAAAGGAAAAAAAAAACCCCTGCATGCTGTCTTTGTGCATCGAAAAGAAGAATAGCTATGTCTTTCTACGGTCGCGCTGGGCTTCTGTCCCAAACATACGACCTCTACCAAAAAGTGACGATGGGCAGGGTCTTATATCTCAAACTCCTGGTCTAACCAATGCTTCACAACCACCTGGCCCTCGTCGAATCCCCTCTTCTTGACTCGAATGATGATAGCGGCGTGACTATGCCGATGGTTATGGATCCAGACCGGGAACTTCCGGAAGCCCACCGAGTTCAGCGAATCGATGATGGAGAACTGCGCCGGAGTCAGTGCCAGCGTGGGGAATTTCTCGCTCGCAAAACTGTCGGTCGTGCTGCTGCGCCGGAGCAGAGGCTCGATGTCGTCTTCATCGAGTTTGCTTTCCAGGTCCGTCGCGGATGAGGTTGTTACTTGACGTCTCTTGGGTGCGTCGGATGTCTTCTTATTGGATGTGGTGGTGGTGAAAGATAGATAATCGGGCTTCTGGCGAGCGCCGGCGCTCTCGAAGACCTCCTCGACGACGTGTTGGACCTCGTTGACTAGGACGGGCACGCGGTAGCGGTCAAAGATCTTGCGGGAGTGGGCGGCCTCGTGGTGGCGGATGCGGCGTTGGCTGCGGAAGTTCTGGATCACTGCGTTCAACAAGAATAAGGGCACGCCGATGATGACGAAGGCCGTGAAGAGGGTTTGGAAGGGCAGGTTCGTGAAGAAACTGGCGACCTGGCGCTGGAGCTGCTCCAGCCAGGACGGACGCGGGGGCTGGACGACGGTGACGGGCTTGGTGGCATCGATGACGACGGGCTCGTACCCCTCCACGTAGTCGAACTGTACATTCTCCAGGTCCTCGAAGGGGTTGATGGCTGAGATGGCGGTGGTGTAGAAGATGGTGGACCGGTCGTTGACGATGTTCGAATAGACGCAGCGATGCTTGAAGGTCTTCAGCGCCTTGATGAAGATGCTGTCCGGATCCGCCAGCACGCTGAGCAGCGGGCGCCCCGTATCGCGAAAGGTGTCGATCATGAACAGCTGCTTCCCCGACATGGAGATCGTCCGGGGCCCCACATTGTTCCACAGGAAGCCCCAGGTCCCCTTCAGCGGGAAGCGCACCCCGACGTGCGGCGAGACGAAGGTGGTGAAGTTGACGGGCTCCAGTTTGTCGAGCCACCCCCGCGCGTAAAGCAGTCCCAGGGCGTATCGCGCCACCAGCCCTCCGAGCGAATAGCCGACGACACTCAGTTTCCGGATGTTGTGGCCTTCTTCGGCGAGTCGCTCCAGGGTCTCTTCCACCTCGTGGGCTAAGCGCTCCCCGCCGAGCTCAATGCCATCGTAGGTGTAGTTTCCGGAGTTGCGCTTTGCGGCGAGGATGTGGAGGCGGTCCTCCTTGTATCGGTCTCTCAGGGAGGTGGCGATGAAGTCCAGGTGGGAGGGATTACCCCATAGTCTGACGTGACACGACGGTCAGCAGAAAATCTCGTTGTCTGCATTAGTCGAATGGTCTTCTTACCCATGGACTAACACGCAGAGATGATCTGCTTTGCGCGACGTCTCAGCCGGCGTACGGCCGTTATCAAGCTCCAGCTCCATAGTCAATATGTGGAAGTCAAGAGTTTCCTCTTGCGATCAGGGTCAACGGGCGGTTTATGTAAGACCTCCTCAACATTATCCGCCAGACTCCGCCGGATTTAGGCACGGTTTTATCGCGATTAAAGGGGCCATGTGGCTGCTTCCTTCGTTGTCCGACCGTCAAGCATTAAGTTCCCTAGCAAAGGGGAGCCCAGCAAGCGCTGACTCAGCCCGATAACGAGACGTCATGTCCTGGTGCCTGATGCAATGAATGGCCCAGAAGGGCCGGTGGCAGTTCATATCAGGTGTCTCGGGCTGGGCTTTACATGGAGCTGGTGAGGCTGAGCACTGCGCAAAACACATTCAGGTAATTCACTGCCGTCACTGCCGTCTCTGAGCCTCCGGATCTTTCAAATGATGGATGGTGATTGAGGTTGAGGATCAGCAAGAGGGTGCGCCTTTGTCTGTTCGTGTCTGGTGTTTGCATCATTTGCACCGCGTCCATCTCCAACACGTGCAGTCAGTCTAGCCTTTGGACGCTTTCCCTTTCGACATTCCACTCAATATTCTCTTTGTTATTCGGGTCTATGAAGGACTGAAGTCAGACTGGCTACCTTGGCTAGACCCTGAGCAATAATTTTCTGCTCACTCACATCTCAGTTCGACATGATCTTCTGGTTTTAGCTCCAGGACTAGCCGCATCGCTTCTCCCCCGCGGCTTGCCAAACACCGAGTCATTTATCCATACAAGAGAAGCGCAGCGCCCGATTGGTCTCTGCTTGGATGCTTGCTGTGTTGCAATGAGTATTGGTTGTCACTCTTTTGGACTATGATCTCTCATCTTTGCCTGTATCTCTCCTTGAGCATCTTATCTTTACCCACCCCTCACAATGTTCGCCCCCCTCGGCTTGTTTAAGGACATACCTTGTCCGGAGGGCCAGAGCTGCTCCCTCTTGACTTGCATGTTCTCTCACAAGGATCTCGCTCCAATTGTTGATAGCCAAAAGACCACCTCGGCTGTTGTCCATGCATCAACTACGAAGCATGGAAATGCCGCGTCGTTTGGGAATTCCGCCCACACAATGTCAGCCGCCGCAGATACGAATGAGAGAGAACCGAAGATCTTGAAGAGGGATTCTCCACCAGCCCCATCCAAAGCTGCAGGCTCCGGGCCAAATGCTTCGGCCAAGTCTTCACCCGCGCCTCAGCCGCCGGTGCCTTCACAGCCGGTCAAACTACAGTCACTGTCTCGAAGGGTCTCTCCGCCACCGAAGCCAGCATCAACAACAGTCAAGACGAATGCGCCTACGCCTGCAAAGCCCCCGACAGCGGGGGCGGCGAAGTCGCGCCCGCCGAGGCAGGCTCCCCGGGAAAGTTTGAATCCCCGCATGTTGACGAAAGCGCCCGCGCCGCATGGAACCAGATTGTCCATCCTAACGAAACTGCATGCTGCCATGTCTTCGCAGAACGAGAAGATCGCCAGGGACAAGGACAGTAAAGACAAATGGCTTGTTCTCACACCCAATGAGCTCATCACAATGGCTCTGGACGAAGAGGAGAAGACCGCCCGAGGCAATCCGAGCATATACGCTAACGTCATCAAGCTTCGCATCGTCCGGTTCATGAAAATGACTAAAGAGGAATGGAAGACGGAGGTCAAGAATCACCTGAACGAGCGGTACTACAAAATCGACCCCAACGCGGAGCAGTCGAGTCCGCAGGCTCTTAGTACGGGGTTGAGCGCAGAAGCGGAGATTGCACTGGCAAGTCAGCTGGTTACTCCAGTTGAAGGGCTTGAACAATTTGGATATGTTACAAAGGCACCTTCAGCTGCGGAAATCGAGAGTGCCAAGAAAGGTGTCGTGGAATCGAAGGGCTGGGAGAAGTGTGATCGGTGCGGTGGGAGGTTCCAGGTCTTTCCAGGCCGTCGCGAGGATGGTTCTTTGACGTCCGGGGGAGAATGTATTCACCACCCTGGGAAGCCGTTCTACCCTCCAAGAAGACAGACGGATCATATAACAGGACACAAGGAAGCTTACTATTCATGTTGCAATGAAACGTTGGGTACTTCTTCTGGCTGCACCAGAGGCAAGACTCATGTCTACAAGGTTTCAGAAACCAAAAGACTTGCTTCTGTTCTCCAGTTCACGGAGACGCCAGCTCAGCCATTCAAGGGGCCACTTCCACCGGTCTGCTTCGACTGTGAGATGGGCTATACTACGTTAGGATTGGAATTGATCCGACTGACCGCGGTCAGTTGGCCTCAGGGCAAGCCACTTTTGGATGTTCTCGTCAGGCCGATGGGGGAAGTATTGGACTTGAACTCGCGGTTCTCTGGTGTCTTTCCTGAACACTACACCAAGGCTATGCCCTATGACGGTTTCCAGAAGGAGGCAGAAGCGACACCACATGAGAATGATGAGGCAGAGGAGCCAACCTTGAAGGTTGTCGATTCGCCGACTGCAGCCCGCGCTCTGCTATTTAGTCACCTTCAACCGGATACGCCTTTGATCGGACATGCGATCGACAACGACTTGAATGCTTGCCGGATAATCCACCCGACGATCATCGATACCGTTATGCTATATCCCCATCCGCGCGGATTACCGAATCGGATGAGCCTGAAGACCTTGTGCCGAAGACATCTCGACCGCGACATACAAACAGGCGGTAGTCTCGGTCATGATTCGAAAGAGGATGCAATTGCTACAGGTGACTTGGTCAGAGTGAAGGCAGTCGAGACCTGGAAGGTGCTGAAGTCGAAAGGCTGGCAGATCCAAGGCGACATACTAGTCCCCCCACCGGGGACAGAGAAGGCTGAAACTGGATCATCAGCGGGGAGGCTTGGACCCGGTGCCGGTCACAAGAGAACGAATGCTAGCCTGGGCCCGTAAAGTAACGTCGTTGATACAAGCCGCTATACTGCAATTATCCTTATATAATGTGATACCCATCCTATGTCTACGTGCCAAGTGAAAAGAGGTTGAGATGTAGGTTTGCTTCATTGATTCATATCTACCATTCATAACGTCATGAGTAGATCGAGCGACGACAAACCCAGCGAATGAGTGTGGAGGTCACCTTTTCAGGTGTAGAACGTCCACTGCCTCGAATCCAGACTGAGCGAGAAGCCACGCAGGAATCCCTCCCAATGCGCACACCCATGATCTCCAACCAGACTCATCCGTCCTAATCCCGGTATATGGAAAAATTTGACATCTCGCAGACCCCCCCAATAGCCGGAGTAAAGTGTCCAAGTCTGATCATTTTTTCCGCGTGTTTATTTTTGGTTGTCTATTTGCTGCTTCAAGAAGGAGAAAGAATTTACTCCTCATCCTCCTCGCCCTCGTCGTTGACGACGTTGTAGAAGCGGAGCTCGTAGACACCCTTGGAGGTGGAGACGACGCGGAGCCAGTCACGGAGCTGCTGCTTCTTGAGGTACTTCTTGGTGCTGTTGAGAGGTAAAGAAGACTGAATCAGCGATTCGCTCTCGCCGACCTATTCGGAAAGTGGACTTACAGGTACTTGAGGTAGCGGCCAGAGAAGGGGATGTGGGCAACAACCTCGATCTTGCCCTCACCAGCCTGGGAGATGACGACCTTGTCGCCGAGGTTGCCGACACGGCCCTCGACCTTGATGCGGTCGTGGAGGAACTTCTCGAAAGCAGAGAGGTCGAAGATCTTGTCGCTCACGGGCTGGGAAGCGTTGATGACATACTACGGAGGGAAAAAATTAGCTTCCTGCCTTGATTTGGATGTTTTGCGATTGGGGGCTCAAACATACCTTCTGGGTGACCTTCTGGGCCTTGCGACCACGAGCCTATTGTCGGGGGGAAAATACCATTAGCCTACTGCTCCATGATGGCGAGATCCCAAGAGATGTTCATATATCCATGAGTCCCAGAGAATCTTTTTCAATCCTCTTTTCCGCCTGGGATGTTCCAGCGCCAGCGCTATCATGTCCAGACGGTCATGGATAGATGAACTCTCATGGGGGAACAGCAAAGCGATTTGTGGAAAGGAAACATACAGCAACGGGAGCCATTGTGACTGTAGGGGGGATTTTCTCGGGGGATAGAGAGAGAAAGTAGCTGGTCGCAAAGAGGTGAGTATCCTGCGCCTGATGGGAGTTGGGGGGGAAAGAAAACGTCCGCTAGGGTACGGGATGGTCAGATCTCGCTGGTCGAGTGCGCCCCACTAATCCGCTTCGGGCAATGTGGATAGGGCTTGATTTTGTTGATTAGGGCTTCCGCTCGTCATTTGACTGGTCTGGAGTTGTGGCCTGGTTGTTGAGGCGTTGATCATTTTGTGCTGCCTGAGGCAGCAGGTGCCTCGCTTCTGGTCAAGGTAGCCGACGCTAGTGCGCTAGCGGCGCACGGGCCTCCTTGCCGACAGGATAAATACCTCTCGCAGCCCGCCTCTCTTTCAAATTTTTTCTTTTCTTCTCCAGCTCTCTTTGCCTTTTGGCTTAGATCAAGTGTAGTATCTGTTCTTTTCAGTTTAATCTCTGAAAGTGTTCTAAGGAACACAACATTGATTAATCTTATTTTTGTACCCTGTGGTCTGACCTCTGTGCTTGCGCATGTCGGACCACACAGTGTCATTGGGCTTACACTACCCCCAATCGACGCGAACCACCTTTTTTCATCAATTTTGTCGGCTTGCCGACTGGTTGGAGAAGAAAATATCCTCCCTTACTTGGCGTGAGCCTCAATCTACAAGTCATAGTTCCTGATGCCATTCCCGTGTTTTTCCTCGCTGTAGATGTAAATTGAAACGCCTCGAACCTTCTCGGGAGTGGAAGTAAAACGCTACCCAATCGTCCCCCGCCCACTGCTCTTCCTCATCTGTCTTCCACGTGATCCCGAACTACATCTCTCGTTCGTGACTGCAAACACTTCCTCGCGAATCTCACGACTATCACCAGAATCGCATCCGTAGTTCATCATGGGTTCCGTCGTGTTGCCGCACCTGCGTACCGCCTGGCACGTCGACCAAGCCATCCTGTCCGAGGAAGACCGACTTGTGGTGTGTACCGCACCTACTACTTCCCTCCTTCCGACACCCAACTAATAAACCAATGCTCGTAACAGGTCATCCGATTCGGTCGCGACCATGATGTCGACTGTAAGCTCCTTCGTTCTCACCCCCCGTCCTACATCAGCTAACCCTCCGTACCAGGCATGCGTCAAGATGAAGTCCTCTTCAAGATCGCCGAGCGGGTCAAGAGTACGTAGAATCACCCCACTCCAAACCCCCCAGGCACATCTTTTGGCAGCAAGTGATCGCTCACACCAAGGCTGTATTGACAGACTTCGCCGTGATCTACCTCTGCGACATCGACGAGGTCCCCGAGTTCAACACGATGTACGAACTCTTCGACCCGATGACCATCATGTTCTTCTACCGGAACAAGCACATGATGTGTGATTTCGGCACGGGTAACAACAACAAGCTGAACTGGGTGCTCGAGGATAAGCAGGAGATGATCGATATCATCGAGACGATCTACAAGGGAGCCAAGAAGGGCCGCGGTCTGGTGGTTAGTCCTAAGGGTATGTATTCCTTTCCTTCCTATTGGTTGCTTGGTTGCGTTACGGTCTATGGTGATCTATGGGGGATTTGCTCGATGGCTGACTGACTGGGTATGTAGATTATTCGACGAGATATCGTTACTGAGTTTGTTGGTTGGGTTGGTCGCGGTCTTGGGTGTGGGTGCGTGGAAGGCAGGGATGGGAGGTTATTTTGTGTTGTTCTTAGTCTAATGAGTTTATGAAATGGGCAGAGCAGCTGGATGTGCGGTTGCCGGCGAATACTGTTCTACAATAGATGGTTCTTGGAATATATTAGATTGGCTGCAAAGTCCTGTTGTAGTGTTCGTTCGCGATTTGAAGATATAAATCTGATCAGAGCTCTCTCCGTGATGCAATATATCTTGCTACCAGAAGCTCCACAAGATAGACATACTAACAACGCTTTCACATCAAGCAAGTCAGAACATTAGCCCATCTGCTGCGATTCGTTTCCAGAAATCGTCACAGTTGGACTAAATCGAGCGGGAATCTCCTTCCTCCCTTCCTCCCTTCCACCTCTCGCCCCACAATTTCTTTCTCACGGCGTTACCTGACGTAACAATCAAACCCCCTTCTACCACATCTGAGTCGAGACGATCAGAGAGAAATCAGACCCCACCAACAATTCCAACGATCCAGAAAAAAAGATATTTAAAATGATCGACCACCAAATCTTCGAGGATCTCCAGTCGAAGATCGACGAAGAGACCGCCGTCCGCGATGTAAGAAAGCGCAAGCTCCGCGCCAAGCCCACCGCCCCCCGGCGAAAAAGCAACGGCGACTGAATAGCTTCAAAACAGGAACTTCATGATATCGTGCAGACGCTGGCACGAAAGGGTACCTATTCCTTCCCGATAGAAAAGCTTCCTATGGGGCTATATGGCGCGAAAGGAACACACGTCCTCTGATGACTGGGTACAGGACGATCCACGCAAGCTATTCTTTCGCGTGCCCACTCGACGCCTGCTGGTCAATGTATGTATCTTCAGGCTTTGGATTCGGGTCCTTGGGGCTTGAAACCTGGGAAAGTAGCTGATAGGGATGGGCAGTGAACCCCGTTCTCGGCGATGTGACCAAGGCGATCTTCGCACAGAGAGATGAGGTCTCTCGGCTGAGGGATGTAGCGGATAAGCACCCTTTCTACAAATACAATGGGGTGTGGACGCGGGAGCTTCAGAATCTGGTGCGTGCGTTTCCTCTGCCTATTCCTCTCTGCTGCTCTCGTTGTGTCGCTGCTGCTGGAGGGGTGTCACGGGCAGAATCTCGGTGAAGATACGAAGGCTAACCGGCGGACTAGGTCTCGTCGATTGAGCTCTGCGCCTGGCTAGGCGGTCTGGGAGAGTACAAATCGAGCCCCTCGGCTTCATTCTTGACGATCGAAGAGGTGGGAAAGTTTCTGGGCGGTGAGTTCTGATGGCTTTATGTCTGGGTAAGAAGGTGTTCTTGTGATACTGACTACTGTCCACCCCACAGTGCCTGTCAACCTGAAGGAAGAGGATGCTTTCCATCTGACCGTTGAGGAGTATCTCCTCGCGTTGATTGCTATGGTGGAAGAACTAGTCAGTGCTCCCACCCCTCTCAAAAATGTCTCTAAGAATCTGGTACAGTCTCGTCTTGCGGTCAACTCGGTCACACTGGGTGACTACACTCGCCCCATGCAGATCAGCAACTTCATCAAGGAGTTGTTCGCTGGCTTTCAGTTGCTAAACCTGAAGAACGATATCTTGCGCAAGAAAAGTGATGGGATCAAGTACAGTGTAAGTATTTCCCGACGGCTGCTGTTGGATGGCATGCTGATTGGCTCGTGAGACAGGTCAAAAAGGTGGAAGACGTTGTCTACGATTTGTCGCTGCGCAACTTGATCCCCAAGGATGGTGCTACTGCTTGAGAAGATTATTTTACAACTGCGTTGGACGGATCTCAACGACTTTGATGGGTGTTCGCAGAGATCATTCCAGTCTGGTTCATATTAATCAATACACGGAACAAGATTGCTCGTCAGAATCAAAACGAGCATTGTATTCATTTGTATTCATGAAAACCACCACCTAAAAGACACAGAACAACAAACAAGGAAATGGTATCACACTTGAAACAGCTCACGCAACTTCCCACGAAACCGAATTAGACTCTCCCAACGTAAACCGACCATTATGTCCTTTAGAGGTTGGCCTCAGCACCCTCAGCAGGAGTAGGCGCGGCAGCCGCCGCCGTGGCAGTAGGAGCTTCCTCAGCTGCAGCAGCACCCTTGGTCTGGGAGGCCAGCTTGCCCTCCTTCCGCGCCTTCTCGATCTCCTGGACGATGGTGTCCTTGAGCGACTCGGGCTTGGTCAGACTGGCCCAGCGGCCGACCACCTTGCCGTCGGCGGAGATCAGGAACTTCTCGAAGTTCCACTTGATGCGCTTCATGCCCAGCAGGCCCGGCTGCTCCTGCTTCATCCAGGTCCACACGGGGTGGGCCTTGTCGCCGTTGACGTCGAGCTTGCCCAGCACGGGGAAGGTGACGCCGTAGTTGAGCTGGCAGAAGGACTGGATCTCATCGTTGGACCCGGGGTCCTGGCTGCCGAACTGGTTGCAGGGGAAGCCCAGGATGGTGAAGTCCTCCGGGTACTGGGCCTTGAGCTCCTGGTAGAGGGTCTCGAGCCCCTTGAACTGCGGGGTGAAGCCGCACTTCGAGGCGGTGTTGACGACGAGGACGACTTTGCCCTTCACGTCGGTGAGGGGGAAGGGGTTGCCCTTCTCTGTTTCGATACAAAAGAACGAATTAGTTGAAGCAAGGAGGAAATTTGGGGAAGCTTTTGCTTTTTGTATCTTGGTATGTGGAGGGGTAGATGAGCGGGGAAAAGGGAAAAGGAAAGGTGCAGGACGTACTATCGACGGGCTCGAAGTCGTAGAAAGTGGTAGCGGAAGACATGTTTGCGAGGGATGAACTGAGTCGCAGATGGTGGTGCGTTGGTGAGAGGGTGAAGTATAGTTGTGGTGGTTGTTGTTGTCGCGAAGGACGAGGACGAGGAGGAGTCGCAAAGAAGTAAGTGTTGCTGTTGCGGAGCGGGGAAGGAAGTGAAATGCAGGATTGCGCAGGGAACGAAGGAAGGATTAACCGTGGTGTGACCGATGGTTTATATGCGATGGACACAAGCAATGGCCGGCGCATGGGGGGGGAAACACTTTTTTCAAACCGTCTGTCGGGTTGTTTCTGTACCAACAATCCAGATAATAATTACTTCTCGGATGTTCAATTAATTTGTCTGGACCACACGTCTCTATCGGGGGTCGACGTTTCCGAAATCCGAATGGAGACTACCTTAGTGGAATAGGAAGAAACTACTCCGAGTAAAACTGACTGACTAACTTACTTCAGTGATCAGAACCAAAAGAAGAAAAAAAGAGAGTAGGAGGATGTCATCATCCTTCAGAACGGCGGGTCGATCGATTGGAATTGGGTTTGTCATCTCTGGCTGTCCAGAACATCCCCCGGTCCCGGTCCTATTGCTGCTTTGGGAGCCAGATTCCCTTTTTTTTCCCTATGAACATGAACTGACATATGACCACTTGCTGCCCTGGTTTCCTCCCCCCCCTCCCTGCGCAGGGCAGAACATCCGCAGTATCTGGTACTAATTTAGAAGTGAATAATGACGGTTGCAGAATTCCAAATACTTTTTCTCCATTAAGCTACCATACTACTCAATCTAAATGAACCGGACTGGAAATGGCCCGATAGGATTTAAGGGAAAGTGGAGTCTCTACCTAGGCTGACGAGCGTCGACCTTTTTCCGAAGCTCGTCCTGCTCTAAGCCTCTGATCCAATTATTCCGCCGGGTCTCGGGCTCCGCTTATTGTCAGCGTTTTCGTGGTTCGGTGCCTTGACATTCGATTTGAAATGTATTGTTTGAGGCCGTGCTTGAGTCTTATGAAAGGTATAGATGTACATGAAGCCAGCATGTGTCTGCATAAACGTCTTCAGACAAATCAACCCGAACCGACCCAGCCGGTCAGACGTATGTCTCCGAGAGGCGAGAAACGAAGAATCTCGTGTCAGCCACCGCTAGGACGACTGGATCCTTGCGCACTAACCGCACATATCTCACTGTACAGCCCCCTCCGAGGCGTGCGCTTTGGGCTTTAGAAGAATCCTCTGACGACCCTGCATGACAGTTTCCAGGGCTTTCTGCAAGCCCCTGCCGCAAAATCCCTAACAAGGCCCGATCGGGCCCGATACCGGATTGCCTGATCACACTGGGTTTGAACGATTCCTTCCTGCCTTTTTGCGTGATGCAGTTGGACCATCTATTGTAGATAGAATTGGCCGGCCGAGGAACTTCTTCGTCCCTTTCACTCTTTGCTCTCTCCCACCCAATGTCGATATTGAGGTAACCCCCCTCGTATCTTTTTTTCTGTCCCAGCGCGAACTCATTTCGCATCCCCCATTTCCAGCACATCCACGTCCAGCTCCTCCATGACCCCAAGCACAACTCCTAGACTCTCCATGAATCCGTTGACGGCGACGCGGAGCATCCGGTTCGTGGTCGCGTAGTACGTCGTCTCCAGGACGGTCTTCGCCGCCTCGTCGGCGGCTTGATCTCTGTCCGGGCTGGTCAGGGTCAGGGTGCGCTTGACGAAGGGGGAGAGCTCGGCATCGACTTCGAGTGTACGGAGGGCTGACGAGGCGAGGCGGTTGGTTGGGAGAGGAAGGGATATGGTCCTGTTGCGGCGGTTGTCAGAATTTTGTTAATCGCGGGGGGTGCCTCGGGAGGTTGAGAGCTCTGGAATTGTCGCGAAGGGAGCTACTCACAAGTTGTAGGGAAACTCGGTGGCTGACACGGAAGCACTCATGTTGATTTGTGGGACGTGTGAACGTGGTCGGGGGTAGGAGGGCAAGCTTGGTAGCTGGCGATCGTTATGGGCCGTGTATTCTGGTCGGGGGATCAGAATCGAGCCAGCCCGCAGAAGCCTGGGCGGGGAGAAGTGGGATGGATGTTCGATAAGAGATGAGTCAGCTTTGGTGCCTAAGGCTAAAATTCTTGATCTTGGTGCCCATAACTGAACATTACTCGCTTTGGTCAATGTTGTGACGTCTTCAACCTTGAACATTGGCTCTTTTCCTGGGGCAAAATAAGGAGACTTGATTTATTCAACAGTATAGTTAGTTTTGCTTCTACAACTTGTATTTGTGTAATTGGGCAGCAAGCTTAACGCTCGCTCCATCCAAGAGATGCAAGTCGACCGTTTACATTGGCTACTAAGGCGATTTACATTGAACGTCCTGGGCACCGGTGGGGGACAATCCCTGTTGGATGTTGTCGTACCATGCCCCAGGTTTTCCCCGTCTTGCCCGTCGGGATTGAGATGAGATCAGTAGATCTGTTGGATTGTTGGAGAAAAAGTACTTGTTTGAACAACAGCCCATTACAGACGGTCTTTTCGGGATCGCGATGTGTTTACACAATGGAATTGTCCCTTGAGTAATGACGATACTGGAGAACTGGTGCTGACGTGGAGACTTTCGTCTAAGCTCCGCAGATACATTGAGAGGGGCAGGGCTGCCTTGGCCGCTGACGGTACTGTATGTTCATGTACCTGACGGGATATATATTGATGATGAAATCGTGATCCCCCCAGAAACAATGACCTCAATCTCCTCAATTGGTGGCTGGACGAGTCAAGTGAGGGGCAATGACCTCAGATTATTGGGCTTTTGCAACTGCACCAAGGCAGCTGCAGATAGCGGAGTCAACATAAACTATTGAATTTGGACGGCGAGAGACTAAGTTGGACTGACAACGGAGGGCCATAACAGTGACAGAGTAGGGCCATAACAAAAACACCGGCAAGGCGGCGCTCACGTGGCCGGGCCGCTCAATGTTTTTTTTTTGGGGAGGGGGAGGGAGACCGGAGGGAGGCTGGAACCGAGATTTGTTGTGTTTCCGGGACGGGGTGTTTGTTTGTTAGGGGATCGTTATGGATACTACGTACTAGCAAATTTACACTTTACTGGGTAACGGGAAGTTAGCTTAGTAGTTACTCCGTACTAACTGACCAAACCACCCCCCCCTGTCAGCTTATCTAATAAGCCCTCAGAGCCTGAGGCATTCCACGTTTCCCTGTCAACCGCCCGCACTAGACCTGAATGGGTTCACCACAACATAACAGCAGCCACTTAGCGTGCATCGCAGTTGCCCCAAACGAGTCTCCCATCGGCCTCGAGCCTATCCTCTTCTCGTGCAAGCCAACTTTTTCCTCACCTTTTCCTCTTCCTCTCTTCGTCCTCTCTGGTTATTATAAACTCGACCTTCGCCCACCCCGCGGATCATCTGTACATCCTCCCCTACTCGGCCTTGCTGCCTCTATCCTTACCCTACACGCCAATCCCCCCCCGCGTCTTTATAGCTTCTTCATCTTGTGCTTGGGAGTGTCAGTCAGACCAGACCATGACTATCTAGCTCCGACATCTTGCTTGCATCCCATCTCTGTTCTTCACCAGCAGAGGTCCTGACCATCCATAGCGGCATCTTATCTATTTAGACCGACACATCCTATAAATCCTTCTTTCGAAGAGGTCTTGCGATTGTTTATTATCCGATTCCATTGTCGGCGCCTATTGTTTTGGTAGCCGCGTCAATATAGTCAAGATGTCTACACGCAGCGGCGATTATGGGCAGGTGATTGAGTATATTCAAGGTTCGTTATCCAACATCATATTGGGGCAGCATTGGCGGGAGATGTGAAGGTCTTCGCTTGTTATCCGATGGCTTGTGTTTGCAGTGTACTGAGAATCTTCGCTCTAGACCGTCTCTACCTGGCCTCTTACGATTATCCCCCCGATGCGAGAACGCCTTTTCCCTACCCTGAACAACCCAAGTCTCCCAGCAAGCGATCTGCCAGAGCTCAGCCCAGTACTCCCAGCAGCAAGAAACGCAGCCCCGTATACTTTACTGTCGACGATGTTCTCCTATACAACTCGTTCCACGCCGACTTCGGTCCCCTGCATATCGGACATCTGTATCGCTTCGCAGTACACTTCCACGAGATCCTGGGAGATCCCGCCAACACTGATCGCGCCGTGGTTTTCTACTCCAAGACGGACTCGCGCAGCCGTGCCAATGCAGCCTGCCTAGTCGCTTGCTATATGGTCCTCATCCAATCTTGGCCTCCACACCTGGCCCTGGCTCCCATCGCACAGGCAGATCCGCCATACATGCCATTCCGCGACGCTGGATACAGTCAGGCGGATTACATCCTCAACATCCAGGACGTTGTATACGGAGTGTGGAAGGCCAAGGAGCAGTCGCTCTGTGGCTTGAGAGATTTCAGCCTAGAAGAGTAAGAGCAGCCTTACGCGTATTTTTAGTTCAAACGCTAACTGGGTGACTACATAGGTATGAGAAGTACGAGCGTGTTGACATGGGTGACTTCAACTGGATCACTCCACAGTTCCTGGCCTTCGCTTCCCCGCAACACCAACCCATTGATGTCATTCCTCGTGACACTCCTGAATATGCTGCGCTGCCTTCTACCATTGCGGAAGTCCAGGCCTCGAAACTCCCCACGCCCTTTAAGAATGTTTTGACCCACTTCTCCTCCCGTAGCGTGGGCCTTGTTGTGCGACTGAATTCCGAGTTGTACTCGCCATCATACTTCACGGCATTGGGAATCAATCATGTCGACATGATCTTTGAGGACGGTACTTGCCCGCCTTTGCCCTTGGTACGCCGATTCATCAAGATGGCACATGAAATGATCACGCAAAAGAAGAAGGGCATTGCGGTCCACTGTAAGGCAGGCCTTGGCCGCACTGGATGTCTCATTGGGGCCTATCTCATCTACAGATATGGCTTTACTGCCAATGAGATTATTGCTTTCATGAGATTCATGCGCCCTGGAATGGTCGTTGGACCCCAGCAACACTGGCTGCACCTCAACCAAGGCTCGTTCCGTGAGTGGTGGTTCGAGGACAGCATGAAGGAGAAGCTCGCTCAACTGCAGTCGGCGCCTATCACGCCTGGCCGGCCGACTACCCGCCAGCGGGCTAACGGGCCTGTCGCGACTCCACCTAATAATGGCCATTCTAAGCGTGCCGCTCTCGGGGAGATTGACCACAATGAGGGGGCTGGCACTCAAGCCGAAGAGAACCTACCAGCACCCACACCTGGCCAGCCTCGCAAGTCCCACCGCAAAGACTCTCGTCACCACCCCTACTCTCGCACCACTTCTGGTAGTCTGATCCTGGAAAAGGAGACGAACAAGACATCCAATCGCCTCAGTACCGACAGCAGCGAGAGTGAAGAAGAAATCCAGTTGCGTATGCTAGCCAAGCGTTCCTCAAGATCCCCCGTGGCATCTCCCAACCAGCGGTCTGTCAGCTACTCAGCTACTGTGACCGCCAGTTATACTCTCAACGATGATGATCGGGAGAACTGGGGTGATTCAGCTACATATGCACCCAAGACACCAATAAGCAGCAAGAGCGGCAGCGGGGCGATCTCTGTCACCAAGGTTCGCACGAGCCCAAGACGTGTGACGGATAGCCGCGCAGAAAAGGGCGTTCGCAAGGCTAGTGGACGTGTTGGCAGCGCTGGAAGTCCTACTCGAGTGAAGTGAGAGCGCGATTGATCGCTGCCGCTTTCATCATCTTTGCTTTCCTTCCTCTGCTTTCAGATATCCACTTCGTATTGTTTATTCTCTTCTTCTCCGCGGGGCATAATCTGTGCATAGCTCCAAAATTTCTTGTTTTATCATCGGCTTGCATATCTGCATTGTCTATTCCACTTGAGGGAGTAGTGTCTTCGAGGTTTCTACTGGTGTTGGTGTCTGGTGCGGTTCTCATGGGTCTGGGCAGGAGCTTCCAAGGCGTTCGGTGCGTTGTGGACTATGGGATGATCTAGAATTTTGACTCAATACAATAAGTCTAGTGATTAGCACGTTATGATCATGACAATTGACACTGTACGTACACGATCTACGTCGGAATGACAAATTGGTTGATGACCGATCACGTAAATGACATAAGCGTTCATATTGCCTGAACTTCCAAGAATCTCCGAAGGATCGATTACCTTCTGACAGATTGTCTCCGTCCTGGTGTTGTGGCCCTTGCATTGTCTTGTAGAGACATCCTATTGTTGTACCTTACTCCCTTGATAAACCTCTTCCCACCCTGATATCTCTAACCTCGACGTGGATTCCCCGCACCATACCGATGCCTTGCTTCCCTACCCCAATGGTGATCGTGCCGATGCGCATAGGCTTTCCATTCTCTGATCCGATCAAGAAGTACGTTAATGGAGATCAAGTTGGGCAAGCGGACTAAGACAGTTATGAATACCGGCTACGAGGATCTTACAATTACCTGTAATTCCGATTTCTACATGGAAGCATTAGTAGTCTCCGATCACAGTAATTCCAGTTATGTATGTTAAGCCCTAGACACCGTACCATGCCTGTGTAAAGCTCATCAAGTTAGTCTCACAGCCGAGGCGAAGAGAACCGGAGGCACCTGAGCCCATAGCCCCGGAAACCACGCACGCTATGTGATCAGGCCGCCCGGCCACTTACTGTACTATACTGTACAGTCTCGACAACGACAAACTACATGCCAGTTTCCTTCGGCCATTCACCCGGTATCAGCACCGTTCAAACCTATTCTAGTTTATTTTGGTGCAAAATCCACAGGTTATGCATCGATAATGCCGTGATGTGTTCCGTTGAGAGTCTCGTCAGCACGGCATCGCAACGAGATTACCTCGTCCGTGGTTGCATAAGGAGTGGTATCGAATGCCAGGCAGGGTCATGCGTGGCTCGATGTGGAGAAAGTGGTTGACGGTGACGGTATTGGAGCGAGAGGATTGGGATGGGGGTCGATTAGAAAGAACGCCATCCTGGGGTTGCGGCTGATGGGGAAGTCTGTGAGAAGGTTGCAATCTACTAAGTTATTTCTCCGGGTCGTAAGAGTTGAGGCTAGGATTGAAGCAGGATCTGCATGGAGTATTATGAACAGTCTCTGAGATGGACGATGGACCCACGGCTGGGTTTATGCGGTAGCTGGAATTGGGTACTCGGACATGTGGCGCGGGAGTGGAGATAGAGTGCCCTTTTTAAATGGTGAAATTGGTATGTTCTGAAGCAAGGGTCTGCTTGTGAACTAGAAATGTAGCACGTAGCTGACGCATCTGGGATCATGCTGGGAAGGTAGGGCCGGAGATGCATAGTACTGAGAAGGATTGAGCCGGGCTGATTCGAAACTCCTTCTTCGGAATGTCTTCTTGAGGGGATTTGGTTTGCCCTTGTGTTACAATGTTGGGAAGTCTACACAATACAGTGCAGTACAGTCCAATCTGTCTCGAGCAAGCCTCCTGCTCCTCACGAGCCCGGTCTCGACGCCACATTATGCTGACAATAGACCAGCCGGTCCCTTGTTGCCGCCCACACGCTCAGTCTCCGAAATAGCCCAGGCGAAGCACGGATGCCACTCCGCTGATAGAATCTGACGAGTAGCATGGACGACATCTCTGGGGAGAGTGCCAAACCAGACACAGGTGCTCCGCCAATGCAAGATGACCATATAATTCGCGAGGACGCAGAGCGCCACCGACGCGCCTACATGGACCTCGGTCTAGAGCTCCAAGGTCATACACGTTGGGAAGTATCCATAAGTCATATGCGTTTTATGATACCCAATCGCGATGAGAAGGGCTGTTCTCAGGGTCTGAAGGGCTGAGGTATACATCGTCGCGTGGGTCGTCGGGAGACCCGCTGCCGAGAGACGTCGCCGGATCGCGTCAAGCGCAGCCTCGATCTCCGCGGGAAGCTTGCGGTCTGGATCCGAAGGTGGCGGAGGATACAAGGAGACCCAGGGGGTGAGAGCCGATGAACCCTCGTGCTGGAATACGACGCTGTGCGGGGACCGGTGCAAGAGAACGAGAATATTATGTATGGTTTCGATGGGGCTTCTGGCGGGTTGTTCGGTGCAGACTTGGATCCTGAAGGCATACGCGATCACGAAGCATTGGAAGGCAAAAAGCGCACCGACGGTGTCTGGGTTCTGGCCTAGATGGTTGTTGGTTAGATATGGCCGGACGGCGGCAACTGCCAGACCGTAGTGATTGGTCGCCAGAATGATGTGCTCCTTGCGGCGGGAGACGCCATGTAAAGCCATATCTAAGGCGCTGATGCTCAACAGCCCGTACTGGAGAAAGTCATACTGGGAGGCGAGCTCCGGAACCCGATTGGACCAGATTGAGGGATCCGTGTGCCCCGGATGGGTCACCTCGAGCATCGCTTTGGCCGTATGCAGGGTGTAGTGGTTCATCAGCCGTAACCGGTCTCGCTCCAAGGCCGACAGCAACTGCATTTCCGGTGCCGTCGTTCGGTCCGATCTCGCTGTGAATCCGGTGGTGTTGGACGATGACGAAGTATTGCTCGACCCAGCGGGTCTACTGAACGAGGCCAGGCTAGGCTCCCCCATCACAGCTTCATTATCAATTCGACCGCCCGTCGGCTGCTGAAATGGGATGAACGTGAGAGCAGGGGATTGACTCGTTAATGAACAAGCGGACCCTATTCTCTTGCAACGTCCACAGGTCGGCCTCTTCTCATCACACTGGATCGGTAAGCATCCGGACTAGCTGCAAGGAACCGAGCACACCTTTGTCCGATTCCTCTTGCATTGTGAGCAACCGTGACGGTTCTTCTTGTGGAACCGTCGTCGTAGAGGCATTGGAGCAGGAGGGAGTACCGGTCGAGGGAAGTACCGGTACTTCAAACTGAGCAGACAAAATGCGAGTCTGTCCTACACGGATTGTTTTGATCTTAGATCTTCTCTGAATCAGTGTCGTGATGTAATGATCTTCAGGTACCAGATTCGGAGTGAGTAATTGTGGAGCGAGGACAAGCAGATCTCAACTGACAGTCCAAGTGCAGAGACCCCACAGGTCGTGGTCAGGGGTTTGAGGAGGTGGAAAGGATGAAAGAAAGAAAGATTAACTCCCGGGGGGGGGGGGGGATGCGCAGGCGGGATTAGAACTAAAGTCCGTCCGCTATCGCCAGATTGGCACCTTGTCCTGTTAGTGACTGTCCTGTACATCATACATCATACAATGGAAAAGCAACTCCCCAAGTATGAGAACAGAAATCTCCATACCAACCAGATCCCCGAAGGAATAGGCTGGGCAAGTACTTAAGTAGCGCATCAGACCAAACCAATGGACTAGATCCACTTGTACCACATGCCATCCCCAACCTCACATTCGCACCCCCTCCCCAATCCCCCCAAACTCCCACACTCGCCCATCGCAATATGGTTAACCTCGACGTGATCCACGCCTCCAACACCACCCTGGTCAAGAGCCAACCCCTGGTAGCCGTTTTCTTCGGCGGCAACTCGGGGATCGGTCACTACACCCTGCGCGCCCTGGCCACCGCCGAATCGCAGCACCGAGGCAAAGGCCTGCGCGCCTATCTCGTGGGCCGCAAGGCCCCCGCCGCCGAGACCATCATCGCCGAATGTCGCACCCTGTACCCGGAGGGCGAGTACATCTTCGTCCAGGCGCACGACCTCTCGCTGCTCCGGGACGTCGATCGCGTCTGCGCCGAGATCCTGTCCCTGGAGCAAGAGCGAGAGCGAGAGCGAGAGCGCGAGCAAGGGCAACCAAGCGCCGCCCCGAATCCACGAATCGACTATCTGATGCTATCCCACGGCGGAGCGCCGTTCCAACCCAGAAAAGGTAAAAATCTTGCTGGATTTCACTTCTTCTTCTTCTTCTTCATCCTCGACAAAGAAACGGAAAGACAAAAAAAAAGTCAAGATCGATAGAAAAGGAAAAATCATATGCTACTGGCTTACTTACGCAAAACCGCAAACGCACCCAGATACCGCCGAAGGCCTGGACACGACAATGTCCCTCCTCTACTACTCGCGCATGCGAGCCGTCACCAACCTCCTGCCCTTACTCCTCCAATCCCCGCTTCCCGCGACAATCGTCTCCGTCTACGCCGCGGGCTTCGAAGGGAAACTCTACAGCGACGATCTCTCGCTCCGCAATCTCAAGCTCTACAGCTACACGCAGGCGCGCTCGCATATGATCTATATGCACACGTGGTTCATGGAGCAGCTGGCCGAGCGGCACCGCGGCCGGTTGCGACTCGTGCATATCTTCCCGGGCTTGGTGCTGGGGCCCGCGTTCGCGAACCCGGAGCTGCCGGCCTGGTTCCGGGGGTTCTGGCGCTGGGTGTTTGTGCCGCTTCTGGGGCGCTGGGTGTCCGTGCCGGCGAAGGAGTGCGGAACCCGGATGCTGAGCCTGGCGTCGCCGCGTTATCCGCCGCGAGGAGGAGGGGCGGGCGGTGCATCGGCTTCGGAGGGGGGTCATCTCCAGAATAATGAAGATGTGATGATGGGAACGGATGGTCAGCTGGGGAGTGGGGTCTACTCGCTTGGCTGGAAAGGTGAGTCGAATATCCAACTCAAGGCCTACGAGAAGTTCGATCTGGCGGAGATGAGGGCCAAGATCTGGGAGCATACGATCAAGGCTTTCGAGACGGTCGAGAGGGGGGATGTTTTCAAGGATTGAGATGGGGTTCTTTTGATGATACGGTTGTCTCAGTGTAATCAAGGTAGTAAGTCTACGCAAATGACTGATGAATTGGTTTTATGGTAGCAAGCGATCCTCAAATTGGGAAAGCTGGATGTAATCTGCCAGGTACTGTACGTCAAGGTGCGAATACAATTCTAAAATTGAGGAATGCGTTAATCTCTAGAACCTCTGCACGACCAGCATGTTCGCATCTGAGACGGAAGCAAGAAGACAACTGCAGCAGCTGCGAAGCGGACCTCCGTTTGGACCCCACTCTCAACCCTGGGCATCTTCGAAGCGGTATCGCAGGTTTCACCATCTCTGTGTATATTCCTCCGACAATTGTCGAGCCTGGTAAAGGTCCTTCGCCTGCTCCATTCCGCAACGGCAGATCGAACGTCTTCTGCCACAGTCGTTACAGAATCTGGTTCTAGAGCACCTATATTGTGTCAGTTCTCGATAATCAGATAGCAAAAGCAGGAAAGCTCAAACGTACATTGTCGGGCTACAACCACTTGTTCTCTCTACTAGAGCCTTGCAGTCAAAGCACTGCTGCCAGCCTAAGTTGTCTTTTGGAGATAGGGTTTGGCTTAGAGCAGGCTTCTTATCACACTCATTCCTAAGGGGGGAGGCCGCTTTACACCAAACACAGGTGGAGGTGCCGCAACAGAGGCATCTGGCCTGATATGCTGTGACCCGGCTGGGCGGAATCGGTACGCGGCACGTCTTCTTACTGCAGCGAGTCCAGTTGATTGTCAAAAATTCAAGTTTTGCTTTGTCGTATTCGTAGAGTTCTTTTTCGGTCATGTACTCTTTTGCTAGACGCAGGGGTATCACGGTCTTGCAGCACGTGGGCGGGAAAAGGGATGGTTCCTGGGTAGCCCTGAAGAAGGAGCCCTTAAGGCACTTGACGCAATATAGATGATCGCATTCTAGCCTGATGATGGGCTTCGCTGAATGGAAACGCCTTAAACATACACAGCATCGGGGTGCGAAAAACCATTCTTGAGAATAGGTCAAAATCGCTCTCAAGGTATCCATGTCTGTGTCGGGGATATCTGATGGGAGGGTTGGAAGATATATTTCGCTTGTCAAATGCTCGGTTCTAGACCGCTGTTTGTGGGTGGGGTTTGAGTATCGATCTCTGCTATCAAATGCAGCGAAGACTTTGCGCCGACTTAAGTTTGGTCCACCGCAGGCGGGAGAGAAGAATGCATATGACTCAAGCGCATGCAGGCTCTGGGTACTGATGAGATTGTGAAGGGGAGCTTGCGAGCAAAACGACCTGATGGACGACGAATGGTGTGGTCGCTTAGGACATTGGGTGTCATCTCCCGGACAAGGACTTTGGGATGCGACCAGGAAGCGCTACTTCGCCACTCAAAATGTAAGTTTGACATATTGTTGCTATTCTTGTGTTTGACTGCTGATGAATGATGTTATAATGTCGAGGTGTCCCCAATCCAACGGAATCATGTTCCGGTAGTGCATCCGCCAGTAGAGAGCCGCGTGTTCCTGGACCAACTGGGCGAAAAAGACCACATTGAATCATGTCATCAGCAAGGATGAATGCGTTTGTGCACAAACCAGATGCATGTATTAATGCATTCTGTTCTCTGTGCTTTCATCTTGAGTATTGGTGGCCACTGCACGGTAGGCGTGATATGCCTTTCTGGCTGGACTGCGTAGAGCTTTCATCCATATATGGGAGACTTCAATAATCGAGCGCGCTTGATTCTGCCTTTCAAACTCACGTCAAAACTAATAATCTCATAGGTCTGACCCTTGTCGCGCGAAACTGTCGCAGTCATGATCATTGGGCCCAATTCAAAGCTTTTGCCCTCAATCACTCTCATGTAGGGCACTGCTGGTCAACACCGAGAAGTAAAACGAGGCTCTGGTGAGTGATGATCAGTCGACACCAAAGTAGGCTCGCTCCGATTAATGCCTCGAGCTGCGATACCATCGCTGGCGGAATTTTGGAATGTTCGGCTTGCTTTCTGTGGAGGACTAAACACGGGCACCGGGGATGAAGATAGGGAACGAAAGTGGTAGGACGAAGACTTATCGAGTCGGCAGTGGCACGAGAAGTATGGGATGTGAACAAGCCAATGCATGGTGCATCAAGGTACTTTATCTGAGGATTGGTTCAGGAATACAGCATGTAACACAGGATTGATTCCGAATGTAACCGGTTCAATTGCAGAGAATAAGGGTATCATATCAATCATGACTCATGAGCATAGATAGAAAATCATGATTTCAGCCAGGATGCACTGTGCGACAAGCTGTGACGCAAATCATTCATCATGAGGAGAATACGAAGAGGGTATACCTCCGCGACGAGGGTAGGCCGGTGGCAGAAGATCAGGGCACATCATTCGACGGGCGCTTTCGAGAGTACCGCTGCGAGAAAGTGTTGTAGAGTGTCGTTATGGCGCGAAATGTTGCTAAATCATACCATCCAAACGAAATCGTTGCTAGAATACGTCTCTTGCACGTAATAGGCTCGGAGGCAAAGTGGGCAGTTGAAATGGTCCTGTAGGTACCACTTCTCCAGGCATTCGCGATGGAAAACGTGTAGACACTTCAATTCTCGTATCTCTTGAGAGCGCTGGACGGACTCGAGGCAAACGACACTGTGGATTGACCGAGTGAGTAACGGTGATGATGGTGGTTGCTGGGCTGACCATACCACATGAACTGTCCGTCGGCGCCCTCGGAGGGTAGCTTGGCTCGCGACCACCAATCCTCCAGGGTACGAGCTGGTGAGACAGCGTCCAGCTTACGCAGCTTGTCGTGCGAGTCGCCTTTCCTGCTTTTGGCCTTGGTGGCGGGACGACGCTCGCGGCGATTGACGAAAAGGCTCAAGCTGAGCCTCATTGTTGTCTGTCAGTAATGGAGGGCAGAGGAATGTGGGCATTGACAGGTGAGGAAGAGGGAGGGAGGAAGGAAGGGAAGGGAGGGAGGAGAGGGAGGGGCACGGGGGAGGAAGTAAAAAAAGGATGGAGCAAACCAGCAACTTACAACAAACACATGATGACGAAGGTCACAAGTCCCAGACCTATGCCGAGAACAATGGCGAGATGGCTATACAGCTGGAGTTCTGATGAATTGTCCGACCACAGCCCCATCGTCCTCACCGCAGGGACTATGTGGGCGGCCGCCGAGGGGTGGTGGAGGGGAAGGGAGTAGAGTACTTATTTTATTCTCCGGAGGAAAGAGAGAAAAGCGGAAATGACGAGGTTAAGAGGTTTTCATCAAGTGAAGCTTGCTCTTTGCTTAATATATACTTTATTCTGTCTCTCTCTCTCTCTCGATCGAGTCGCAATTGTGTTCACCCAGTTTGATCGTCGTCACTTGGCGGGGCTTGCGCGCGCCAACCAGGCTTTATCAGACCATCATTTAAAGTCTCAATCAGCAGATGCCGGTGGAACGGAGCAATCCATTCATCACGGTCGGAAGTGAAAGAGAAGTGGCCAGTCCAGGTCGTGAAACACGAGAATGAGGGGAGAAAGGAAACAAAGGAGAGGATAGATAATTGAGAGCGAGAGACATTGCCACCACTGCCACAATTGTACTCAAGCCGCAATCCCATCTTGAAGCTATCCCCGAACATTTTCTCTTTTTCTATGAGTATTTCATTTCCCACTCCCTCATGCATTCATACTCCATACATGCCTTGTCTTTGCTCACTTCATCTACTAGTTCTGCGGAATGACCAGATGTGACCAGATGTGGACCTCCCTCGCCTCTGATTGCCTTCTTTACATTCTCTAAGAATTCTTCCCCATGCAGCTCAACCCAAGTAGAAGCCGAGGCAGCCACCGTGGACCAAGACAGTCTAAAGCATGCTGGTGACCTTACTTTACTTAAACTAGGTGCATACATACATACATACATATAGCTAGCATGATCACTGCAGCCTTTGCCTGGAGAGTGAAACCCGTGACTGGGAGCCAGCCACGGCCCAAGGGTTCCCACTGGTCATGCCATGGAGCCATGGATGTCGTGTCAGGTCATGCCACGACGATCCGGTCCAGTCAGATAAGGTAGTCTCGCGCAACTCCCCTTCAAGCGATCATGACGCGATCTACCTCAATTATGTCTTCTTCTCATCCAATTCTGGAAGGTGGAGGATGGTGAAAGATAACGCGACAGTACAAAAAACCACCCTCCCCGCATATCGACCACAGTAAGCGGTAACTTAACTACCCGGTAAGCGACTGCTGACATACAGCGCAATCAATAAGGAGGCCGACTTGGCAAACCGCTACAATTAAGCACGGTAGTCCTGGTCATCGCGGCGAGGAGTAGGTGCCTAACTTACTGGTTACTGATCTCGGGTCCGAGCAGCGCCAATCCTGTGCCCCCATGCATCATATCCCTCCCTTGTCGCCCGTGTCGGTCAGTGATCACCCATTTTGCGGGGAAATAAACATCGCCTCCACTCATGGCTGGGGAGCATGCGTGGTGACCACTTACAAGTGATCTGTTTCCCCACTCCAAGGATAATGGATTCCCGCAGTCCCAAACGCTTTTGTTTGACAGATCACAAGTGCTGCCAAATCCCCCAACCACCCCCAATTTTTGGTTCTTCTCACAGCTTTCGACTGGTTCACTGGGCTGCCATCTGATGTTGTTTGCTTCAGCTGCGAATCAAGCGGCTTTGATTGAGCAGGCTGTGTGATGTATGTACCCCATACACAGTACATACGATATCGTAAGATGCTCTAATTACGACTCTCGGTAAGGCAATTCACCGTACACAAACAACAATCTCTCGAACAACAACCATACAAATATCGCTACGTCGCCTTATAACCATTATCAGGATAATCAGATGAGTCGCCTATATGATTATTGCTTAGGTCGAGGTCTTACAGTACTTCCAAAAAAAAAAGCCCAGACACAAAATTGTAACCGCCTTATCACAATCTCTATACCCCGCATGAATACATACTAGAATAGCTGCGATGATACTAGTAAAATGGAGAGATATCCCAAACAATCTAAGCTAAACCACCAAGGCTACGATATGCTCATATGGTGAAAAAGAACAAACGTCCCGTCAATTCATTATGTATGAAATTAACTGATCAGAGCTATGCCTCAAAAGATAAATCCTTCCCACCTGCATCCAACTGTCCACGGTTAGACCACATAGGCCTCAGTCCTTGTGCTCCACGTTTGTAACAGTGATACCCGTCTCCTCGGCCTTGTCGGCTTCTGCGGTCATCTTAGATTCCACATCCGCTGGCAGGTGGCCGAGAGCACGGCCACCGAACAGGAGATCGATCTCTTCTAGAGACTTTTGTTTGGTCTCCTTGAAGACGAAGAACACGGTGGGGAACGTGACGCAAATGTCTGTTGCACGAATTGATTAGCCAGGGTACCGGGAAAGGAAGAGCCACGGTTATAGCAGCAGCTGAAAGGGTTTCGTGGGAAGGACTTACTGAAGGCCACAAAGATGAAGTAGAATTTCCAACCAATACTTGCCAGAGCGATGGGGGAGACCTGCGCCCACAGCGTACTGACGGTCCAATTCCCAACAGCTGTCGCAAAAGCCGTTCCTCGCCCACGGATCTGCATCGGCATGACCTCCGCCATGTATGTCCTATCACCGCATTTGCGTTAGTGTGCTGAAACAGGTCGCGAGTGACAGAAGTACTGTAAAGTGAGAGGGCTTACCAGCTGGTTGGGCCGAATGATAGAGAGAAGAGAACGGTGACGCAAAAGATGAAGAAGACACCGCCAATGCTATATCCTCGGTTGACTTCGCCAGTTTTGATCTGCGAGTTGAGAGCTGCTTCGCAGATCAGGGCAATGGTGATAGTGACCGTGCCGAAAAGCATAGGCTTCCGTCTTCCGACCCGATCAAGAAGAAAGACAATAAAGATCAAGTTGGTGAGTGGGCCAACGCAGTTATAAATACCAGCGACCAGCGTATTACGATTGCCTGTAATACCAAGCGTATTGTACATAATCGTCTGATAGTAGCCTATCACGTTGACCCCCGTCATCTGAGTGAAGACTTGGACAAGAGTACCGTGCCTAAGTAAAGCTCATTAGTATCAAAGTCAAGGGGAAGAGAGAAGAATCGAGTCGACGCACATCAGTCGAATCCGCCACTGGGGAACTTTGAACATGATCAACCATCCTGGAGCAGTCACGGCCTTCTCCGCCTCAATCGTGGCTCTAATCTCAGTGTGTTCCCTTTGAATCCAGTCGTCATTTGTGCCATCATAGTGAAGCTTTTTCAAGATCCTCAATGCCTCGTCATACTTCTCCTTCTCAATTAGATATCGAGGAGACTCGGGCATGAAGAACATTCCTATTGCCAGCAAGAGCGCCGGGACCGCTTGGAATGCCAATGGAAAACGCCATTGAAACTCGCTCGTATCAGGTGCGTGGAGAGATCCGTAGCCGACCCATCTGAGAGCGAGGTCAGTTACGCCTTCTAATGAACAACCGAGCACCTGGAAGTATTTACGTGCTGACGATAAAACCCACTCCAATCATTTGCTGTGCCAGACCGACAATCAAACCACGGGAGCGTGGATGGGCGACCTCAGCTTGGTACACTGGAACGGACATAGACATCAGGCCAACCGCCCATCCAGCAAAAATACGGCCGACCAAGATCATAGACAGGTTCTGAGCTGCGGACTGTAGAATGGCGCCGACAAGACAGATAAAGGCTCCCATCTGAATAGTAAATTTGCGCCCAAAACGGTCCATCGTAAGGCCACCCTGGAGAGCGCCAACAGCGGCTATATCGCCTCATGTTAGCCAAGCGCAGGATGAGAGAACTGAGCGGCAACACAGCGCCTCAAACTGAGTAGTGATAGAAAGAAGCCAGAGAACATACCTCCTCCCGAGAAAGTACTATTGATCGCTCCGATGATAGCTGATGTCTGAGTAGTATTGAAGAAGTTCAAAAAGTTCTTCGATTCAATTACATCAGTCATAACACCACTGTCATAACCAAACAAGAAAGACCCTGTTGCCGCAAAGGCAGCCAGGGAGATGGTGAAAAATCGTCCCATGTTGGCGAAAGTGAAGGGGAGAAGTTGGTGGGGGGGTGCAAGGCAAAAAAAAAATAGCAACCGGAGGGGAAAGGGTAGGCGACATTGTCTATATAGAGCCCATGTGCGCCCAACCCCGTCTGGAATGGATATTATCCTTGACTAGCTCCATAGCCATGGGCTGACAGACTGGACAAAACCGCACAGTGGCGCGGGACAAAAGCTTGCAGTTGACCTTGAAAATCCGGGGACGGTTGACCAAATTGCCAATAGACCTCACGCCGTCTTCCCAATCTTGAATTAGTGGCTGATTCAATTGGCGAGAGCTCCACTAGGCGAGTATAGCGCTTGCGAGCAAGAGAAGAGCCAGTCTGTGTGCATTGACAATTCGTTGGCTGACATGTGGGGGGCTCGGCCAGGGCAGGGACAAATGTTGACTCAGTGACAGGCTGGGGAGAGATTCACTATTAATTAAACCCCGCAGAAGCCAATAGGGTAAATAAAGTCCACTTGCCTCTGGCTAAATGCCTCTCACACGCCACTGTTGGCCTTGTTCGCTCCGGGGTAGCGGCCCAGTCCACCGAGGCACGGTGGCACACAGATGTGCACCTGCCCACCTGTCAATTGTGTTCTAGACCTATTTGCCTGTCTGAGCTCGAACTAGATCTGCGATCTCGCTCACTGCCCACAGACCGTGGAGAGGCAAAGTCGACAGGCAGCGTGGTGAAGGGAAGAGAATGCGTCGCAGGTTTGAATAGCAAATCCTAAACCCGGCTGATTTCCGCGTGCTAACCACTCAGGAGACTCCTCACTCCTGATCTAGCGTCGTTCCCAATAATAACAGCTCGAATTTTGCCATGGATGAGGTTATCCATCGACCACGTGGTGTTTGCACAACAGTGTCGCAAGAGCATGAATTGAGCCAAGATGAGCCTAAATGCATGAGAAATAGACATCGGACCCAACGAATCGTGTTATGAACCATCTGAACATTAGCCGAGACTGACACTCCTACACGATGTCTAAATGAATTTTGAAATCTGCTGATCAAGTCTGGTTAGCACTTGTCGGGGAGAGACGATGACTGCGCACCTCGATTGATGGAAATCCCCCCAGCCGAGCCTGCAGCAATGCAGCTTACACTACTGTGCCATTTGCACCAATCCCCGCCGGAGAAGTTTTGACGGACTTTCCCATATTAGGTAAGGTACCTTATTGTCGCGGACCAGGGTCTGATAAATGAGAGTCTAACCAGTTTAGGATACTGTCATTTCCCCCGTCCTTTCAACACGTTCCCGGCTATTAACAGTCTCGTATTCTAGACTACTTACAATTATAGCGATCGGAGGCGAACCTAACTAGGTGCATGGAGACCGTGTTACGGTTCGATTGTGATGGTGTGAGTTAAATGTCGACTTGTTGACAGTCAGGACTCAGCTACAGCATCTATTCTTGCGGACAGCTTGAATCGGCACAGATAATGACTTCACCTGGTATCAGACAAGCCGCTTTCGCAGAGACAATGTGCTTTATACTCATGTATGACGGCCTGCGTAGCTTCCCTACATCGTAGATGCGCTAGCAGGTATCAACCCAGTTGCTTGGTAACCTTTCCGTTAGCCGGTTTTCGAAGCGCAGGGGATTACTTGCGCTGTGTTGCCGTGATACTGTCGACTCGAGTCGAAGCCACCCAATGACATACAGACTGGCCCTAGTCAGAACAGCGACAGACCTCTAATCCATGAGAATCGATCTCAGGCAGATCGTCCAGACGCATATTATCCGTTCAACCGAACCGTATCTGGCATATTTGGTCGGATCTAATCAGATAAGCAACTAAGATTTTTCCGGATGGACCACAGGGATTGACGTCATCGAGAGAGTAATCCTTGCCTGTCTCAGTCATATTGTATCAAAAGATACCGGCAATAAGGTCACATTACCGAGAAAATGCTTGGAGCGAAGTCAGGACAGTGAGCGAGTGCCTGTGTCAATTGACTCTGTTCTTGGTTTCCAACTAGATTGCCGACCCCGATCCGGACCATCTGGTTCCACCAAGGTCTCTTCCCCGCCAAAGGCCAGCCATGACCATCACAACAACCTTACCTAGCTTCTGGAAACTCTCACCCAATACACAAGAACAATCCTGTATACTCAACGGAAGCTGCGCTTGTCTTGATCCAATCAAAGATGGTGTCTACAGGTCGATCAAGTACCGTTCCCCCGCCTTCAACTTCATCTCCCGCTCATTCAGACTCTTTCATACGACCCAGGCAGCCAAGCCTTGACCTGGAACGCGATATTCTATCCACGCGTGGCCAGCGTCTTGCGGGCTTGATACGGCGGCGCTCCTTATCACTTCATGACTCCGACGGCTTTGACGAGAGCGACCGATGGGATGAGTCAATTGCTCCCCGAGAGCGTATGGCCCGACCTGCCTTCGAACGCGCGAAGCGATTGATTGGCGACAGAAGCCCCTTTTATCGATGGTACGCTTTAGCTTCCAAGAACACAGTTGAAACGCTGACAGTGATCCCAAAGGCAATCTTTCTACCGCCATCCAGCCACTTTGCAAGGCTTGCCACAGCCGTTGTATGTAGCCCCTTCTGCATCTAACGTCTATGGTTGGCGGTTGCTGAGCATTCTTCAAGACGACAATACTACGAACGCAACAATGACCTCATCTCACAATACGCTTACATCGACCGATTGCTGGACTCGTCCTTGCCACACCGCTTGATAGTCGATTACCATAAACCTTGCGGCTTGTTGGGACCGATTTCTGCATATACCAACAATGGCAGCAGCACACGGGAGTCCGAGCCGAACACCGTTCCTGAGAATGGTTTGGACCCTAGTAATGATACGGCTAAAATCAAGCGAACCCCACGCAATCTCTATCGCATTCCCAACGAAGGCACCCCTCTTCTATCACCACCGCTGGAAGATAATGTGTCAGCACGGCCTGATATCATGCCCAAGCACGACGAGTATGTGGAAAGCGGAGATAGAATAGTCACCATCGCCATCTATGTCAACTTCATCGCCAACATAATACTATTGGCTGCCAAAATCGTCGTCATATCAATGACAAGCTCTCTCTCAGTGCTTGCGAGCTTAGTTGATGCAGCATTGGACTTCCTCAGCACTGCTATTGTTTGGGTGACCACCAGTTTGATTAACCGACAGGACCGCTACCGGTATCCTATCAGTCGACGCCGGCTGGAGCCACTGAGTGTTCTCGTTTTCGCAGTCGTTATGATGACATCTTTCGTTCAAGTGGCACTGACATCTTTGAGTCGGTTGCTATCGTCAGACCACTCTGTGGTAGAGCTCACGATACCGTCTATCGCAGTCATGGCCAGTACGGTGGTTACCAAGCTGATTTGCTGGTTCTGGTGCCGGTTGATCAAGAACTCAAGTGTCCAGGCTCTGGCGCAAGACGCCATGACAGACGTAGTTTTCAACCTAGCGAGTATCTTATTCCCTCTAGGTAAGTTTGACCGACCTATTATTCATGCGACATCGACCCTATTGACCAATATTCAAGTTGGCTCATTTACCAATACTTGGTTCATTGATCCCCTCGGCGGTTTGCTCCTCTCCTTATATGTTATCTGGAATTGGAGTGGCACGGCCAGCGAGCATATCGGCCACCTTACTGGCGCCGCTGCATCCCCGAAAGATCACAGCATTTTTCTTTATATGACCATGCGTTTCTCCAAGGCTATCCTGAAGATTCAGGACTTGAAAGCATATTACGCCGGTGACAAGCTAAATGTCGAGATTGATATCGTGCTCGAGCCCAAAACGAGATTGCAGGATAGCCACGACGTGGGGGAAAGCCTGCAGTACATGATTGAGAGTGTTCCGACCGTGGATCGAGCTTTCGTTCATCTGGATTATGACCCATGGAACATCCCCAGCCATATGAACCAGCAAGAGGCATAGATACCTGTTTAGGGTAACATGCAAACAACCCGACCGGCGTATTCTATCGTCCAGACGGATATGAATGAATCGAGCCTGTGCATCGGGTTGGCTGAGTGTATTTATCTATGGGATTTGTCTAGAACTGGAATTGAATGCGAGTATCCTGTTGGTTTGCTGCAGATGACCTGTCAGATTCCGCCCATCAGATAAGGATAATCAAGGGGCGGATGCCCTCCGACTACCGCAGCGTGTCGCACAAGGTGGCAAAAGGTCAAGGGATGATCAGCGCATCTGAATGCTGTCAATTTGTTCAATAGCGCGCAACAGACGCAGGATCCCGTGATGTCCCAACCATGCCTATTGTGGAATGTTGATTGTTATCCATGATCGCGTGGTGATTTACTCCGCTCCGTTGTTACACCCCAAGCTTACGGGGCGATTGCATCACGCGCCGTAATTGTGCGCGAAGGCGAGGGAAGAATGATAACACAAAGCTAGACATGCCCTTCCATATGATCGCCAAGTGTCGATTACATGTATGGTACGTAATGTTATCAATCAAGCTCAAAGTAAGAAGTAAGATCACGATTAAAATGGTGACTGTATGTAAAAAAAGAACAAAGGAACAAAGGGACCAAACGCCTCGTGGTGAGCGGAAGTGGGTCAGCCGCGGGCGGCGCGAGGGAGCAAGAGACAGAGTGAGTGGAGAGGGAGCGGAAAACGGGGGCGGCCTGGCCATAGGTACAGTAACACAAAACCAACTTTACTTACCACGCCTCCGCCCGCGTCACACATCGCGACGCGATTAGATCAAGCAGAGCGTCTTTTTCGTCGTACTCTTGATTTCGAGGCACGTTTTCCCACCACCTCAATCCAGACAGACACCTTCGACTCTCCATTCCTCTCTTTCCCTTCAATTAGCTCACGGGATCTTTACCTGGGCTCAATTCTTCCACTTGTATCTTTCGTTCTTCTATTTCTTTTCTTATTTACGTGCTTTCCCCCGAATACCGCCTATGCCGTCATCTTAACCCTCCGCGCTGCTGCCCAACATGTCTGATCTGGAACACACTGCTGAGCCAACGTGCTCGTCTTCGCCGCCGTCTGCTCAAACATGGGATGCTACACCGATTAATTATGCCTTTCTGGTACACTCTCAGAAAACATTGACCCAGAATCTCCCGCCGCGGGTAGACAACAAATTGCTGGCACGGCAAAAGCGGCGCCGCACAAGGTATGCCTGGGAACCGCCCTGGTCGTGAACCACGACTACACTTGAACTCCGAATAACTTTCCCATTTTCCTGTATAACTGCTAATTGTCGTGAATGTATAGCCCAGAAGATCACGCAATCCTCGAGGCAGAATATCAACGAAACCCCAAGCCAGACAAGACGGCCCGAGCTAGTATAGTCAGCCGCGTCTCATTGGGCGAAAAGGAAGTGCAGGTATGACGCGGAAGAACAATACTCGTACTTTGTACCCTCCAGCTTTCTAATCACCATATCGACGCGCTTTTCAGATCTGGTTCCAGAATCGTCGTCAAAATGACCGTCGCAAGTCCAAGCCTCTTCAACCACACGAGCTTCTCGCGCCTCGATCATCCGCGTCCGACGCGTCGAAACATGCCGCCAGTGACGATAGCCTCTCTTCGGAAACGGTGCCTTCTAGCAGTCCCGAACAACCCGAGGAGATTGGACAGGAGAGAATCCCGTCAACACAATCATCGGACAACTCCTGCGAGTCTGATGAAGCACTTGAGGACAAGGGTGGCCTAGAACAACCGGCTTTCAGCTCTCAAACAAGCTTGGCTACGTCCGTAGCGCCAGAAGGTTCGCAACCAGTATCGAAAGAGGCGATTGCGGAGCCAGAGTCTTCTCACACACAAGAGGTTCCAACATTCGATGAGTCGCAACAGGCCATGGTGAAAAGGAAACGATCGGTCACGGAGGTTCGATGTGACACGCCGTTTGTGCAGGGTGCGTCGACACCGAGCCAATTCCACGATATTAAGTCACCGCCTTCGCTGCGGCTATCGCTTTCTTTCGATGGGGAAGCCATGGTCCGGAAAGAAGGCGAGTTCACACCCTCGCCTCCGAAAGGACGGAATGCTCTTCGCATCGCAATGTCGTCCGACGGGAAAGCTGTGATCAGAGCTGATGGCGAGCCCTCTCCGTCAAGGAATCGCATCTCTATGTTCTCGGCCCGGAAACCTCCGTTCACAGGCCTTCGCAGGAGCAGTAGTGCGGTGGCTTTCAGCACCCCGCGAGCCGGCAGCACGGATGCAGAGAGGATGTTTGGAAGATCCAGAGATCCCAGAAACTGGGAGGCCTTTTTTGATACCGATGCGAGAAGTGCCCTTTGCACGCCAATGAGCTCACAAAGTGCTCCAGGTGCTGGCTCTCCTGGGCTCTTCCGATCCCGGAGTCAGCGTTCCTTGACCAGAAGTCTGTCAGGAAAGCACAGCATGTCTCTGCCGATGAAATCAGCAGACTATCTTAATACCCCGGTTCCGAAACCGAACAGCGAGAAGAGACGGAAGATCTCTCGCACTGTCTCGTCACTGGGTCGATTGGAGTCTGATCACAAGTTGTCTTACGCGGGATCCAACCCGAAAGCCTATATGGAAGCGGCGAAGGACGGGGAAGTCGACTTGCAGTGCGGTGATTCAGATAAAGAAAACTGGATCCCCGGGACGAGAGTTGCCCACAATCGCCGTCGGGTTGCATCTCATCACAATCCTCGACGTTCAGTGCTCAAGGATACTAGCGGAAGGGACGGCAAAACCCATAAGAACGTCAATCCAGCTGGCAGATATGCTCGAGGTTCTCAACAATCACAGCACAGAGTGAACATGTCCATCGGTAAGGACGTGCCGGAATTGGATCCAGAGGTGTCCGCTTTCATGAGTGGGGGAGGCGGCGCCAGTCAGGAGGAGGACCTTGACTGCATCCAGGGACTATTATCCCTGAGCCAAGGTGCTTGGAGATGAGCACTATTGTCTTCTCATCTCTATAATGACCTCATCTTTCTTATGTCTTTTCTATTCTCTTTTGTCTCATATCCCCTCTTCCTTGAGTAGATTCCTGTTGGAGATTACAAGCCAGCAAGCGTTGTTTGCCTGTATGAATCGGAGTGATGGTCAACTTGTAATGATTGGATTGTGGTTGCTATTTGCACTGCTTGTTTAATTCCTTCCAGGCAAATGCAGTCAAGGGCTCTTCTTGTTTGGTGATGAAAATCCTGTCTTAAGTGACAATGATATCCCGTGCTGTTTATCAGCCTAATACCTCCAAAAATAACAATATCATATGATCAAGGATGTTTGAGCTTGGGTGATAGATTGTAGATTTCGGCATAGCGTGCGGGGAATGATAAGCGAAGCGCAGGACTCACTGCAGCGATAGCTTAGTACCTACCTAGATCCTAGATAGCTTAGACTGGCTGTCTGCAGGATCGGGATGAAGGGAGAAAGAGGAAGGGCGGGTCCGAGACTCGAGTGGGAGCGGGGAGGGCAAACAGACAAACAGACAGGTAGGGCTCAATGCACGTGGCCGCCGCCTGCTGACATATAACCGCTCTGTCTCGCCAGCGGCGAACGAAAGACCCCAGTTAGTGTACAGTATTGTTACGCCTTTTCCTCGCCACCATTCGACTGACTGATGTCTATCAGCTTACCCTGGGTGCTGCGTAATTGGAAGAGCGAAGTCATTCACAAGTCGGTAGGTCCAATCAGTCTGCTTTTGCACTCTCACGCCCTCTTTTGCTTGTTATCAGTTGTCCGGGTTGTCTATGCAGTTGCGCTGCATTATGCAAGTATGTAATATCTGCGTGTTTGTGAGCTTATAGACCTCGAAGGATCTGTCACCTGTCCTGAAATGACGACTATAGCTGGAGAAATGGATTTGCTCGATGCGTCATCGGATAATCATCATTTCATCAATTCTTGGAGTCATTCCCTGACTCATTGGGGGTGTCAGACTCGCCGTGAAGAATGTTGAATGACAGCTATCTTTACATGCCACAACACATCAATGCCGAATCCAGCTAATGGAACATAGTCCAGCCTACGAATCCAGTATACAGTCAATACCAGAGACGTACAATCTTTGCTACAGTCGGTCCGAGGCATGCCCTATCTGTCAAGAACCGTGGCCGAGGGCCACAAGCCAAGAGTGGCTGTTATCGGAGCGGGCTTCGCAGGCTTGCGATGCGCAGATATCCTCATCCAAAACGGCGCCCAGGTCGTTCTTTTTGAAGCGAGAGATAGACTCGGTGGAAGGGTACGTAGACGACAGGTGAACCACTGTCACTTGTCGAGAATTTTTTTGCTAATCCAGATGTCAAAATAGGTACATCAGAGCAAGATCCATGATCATGTGGTTGACATGTAAGCTTCCGTCGCATGCTGACATTGCTCTTGTTTTTCATGTTGTGCTCATATCAAGCAGGGGCCCTAATTGGATTCATGGCACCGGAAAGAACCCGATAGTCAGCATTGCTGAAGCAACAAACACCGCCGTTGAGGACTTCGAAGGGAACCAGGCTCTTATAGCTCCCGATGGGACCCCAATCAGTGACGATGTCGCTGAGAAGGTCTCGGACGTCCTGTGGACAATCATCGCCAAGGCATTCGAGTACAGCAACACCTACAAAGAGACGATACCTGCCGATCGGAGCTTGCTTGACTACATCAAGGAACAAGTGGTGCAGACCGACCTCAGCGAGGAGGAAAAGGTGCTGTGCGTTGAATCTAGCAAGATGTGGGGTGCCTATGTTGGTGACCCCATCGAAAGGCAGAGTCTGAAGTTCTTTTGCCTCGAAGAATGTATAGACGGAAGTGAGCATCCTCCTACAGGGTTCCTATCCCAATCACGTCTACAGTTACTGATCACCCTGTCCGCAGACAACTACTTTGTGGCATCCACATATACACGAATCTTGGAACATGTCTCCAAGACCGCACGCCAACACGCGGATATCCGCCTCAACCAACCGATCATCAAGATCGAGTCCTCAGTTCGCGATGACACCGCTGCCATGCCATCGTCCAGCACACAAGTGACCCTAACAACAGCTTCAGGGGAAACCTCCAACTACGACGAAGTAGTCGTCACCTGCCCCCTAGGCTGGCTCAAGCGCAACAAAGACGCGTTTATCCCATCCATACCCGCGCGCCTCAGCCAAGCCATCGACAGCATCTCCTACGGCCGCCTCGAGAAAGTATACATCACCTTCCCTCGCGCCTTCTGGTACACCTCCAACCCTGCATCATCATCGTCACCTTCACCCAGCACCACCCCCACCCCCACCCCAACCTACAAATCCTACCAAACCCCAACCTTCGCCCAATTCCTCAACCCAAGCTACTCAACCACCCACCCCCCGGAAATCCACTGGAACCAAGAATGCATCTCGCTCGCCGCCCTTTCCTCCCGGCAAACCGCCCACCCGACCCTCCTCTTCTACACCTTCGGCCCCAGCGCCACGCATATCGTCTCGCAGATCGCACACCTCCCCCCGACCTCCCCGGAATACTACCGACAACTCCACGGAATCTTCCACCCCTTCTTCGCCCGCCTGCACAACTACTCCCCGACCGCGCCGGAGTGCCAGCCGCTCGCCTACCTGGCGACGACGTGGCAGACGGACCCCTACGCGGGCCACGGCTCGTACTGCAACTTCCAGGTCGGGTTGCAGCGCGGGGACCGCGATATCGAGGTGCTGCGGGCGGGCATGGGCGCCGACCGCGGCGTGTGGTTTGCGGGCGAGCATACGGCGCCGTTCGTGGCGCTGGGGACGACCACCGGCGCGTACTGGAGTGGGGAGCGCGCCGCGGCGGGGATCTGTGAGCTCTATGGACTGGGGAAGGTCGGGTTGGGGGTCGGGGGCATGAGGGATGATTCTTTGCCGTCCGCCGGAGTGGTTGGTCGCGAGGATTTGGGGGTTGGTGGTGGGGCTTGATTGGATTGGCTTTTTGGGGTTGGTTTGTGGGAGGAGGGATGTTTTGTTGTTTTGGCTTTTCTTTTTGGGTTTTGGTTGGCTTTCAGCAGAGGCTGTCGTTCGGCTTGGGTCATGATGGATCGGTGGCTGGATTTGGTGATGCTTTTTGTATGAAGACACACACACACACACACACACACACAGAGAGAGAGAGAGAGAGAGAGAGAGAGAGATACAGATATAGCTTAGCTGATATACAATGCACACGAGAGCGAACTGCACTGTTTGAGGTATGTATGATTGGCAGTATAGCAGAGCCACAGTTATGTACACCTTCATCGGTCAATCCTTGGCAACCATGGTACAGCAAAAGTAATAAAGACAAGAGCCGAGCCCACAAGACTGATAGAACATGAACAAGAACGAGTGAGAAACAGGAGGGGAATCACAGGTTGGTTGGTCAATCTCGCTCGAAAAAAGGTAAAGGAGAGAACAAAAAAATGACAGCTAATAGGAAGCAAGAGTGAAAGAACAGGAACACATAAACCCCAGAGACTAAATCCGCCCAGGGCATCATTTGAAGTGACCATGCGCCAATATGCTATCTCTCACGACTAGAGTATCAACGAGCCTGCGTGATCCTCAAGATTCCGCTCTTTCCTCCTCAGCAAAATTCGAAGCACAAAAACACCGCGCGTACTAGAAAGAGGACGGAGGAGGTAGGGGTATCCCTCGATTGAGCGCCGAATTGAATGAAAGGACGAGAAATGTATGTTCGATAAGGTTCAGTAGGGTCAGCCTTGGCGATTTGTTATTCCTGAAGCCCGGCGAGAGCCGTTGTCCATTGTAAGAAGGATCGTGGTTCCTGGTAGTGGCCATGTCGGATTCGGCTGACTCCTCAATCTTCCCAGATGGTCTCCAGGTCCAAATCTTGACGACGTTCCGCCCCACAGACACTCCAGCGCTTCCGCTTATCGGTCCGCACCCCGTATCCACCAGATGAAACGCGCGTGTTCATGAAAGGGCTCGAGGGACCCGAGGCATCGGACGTTCCACGCCGTCGATTCGAATTGGTGGCCTCCTCCGCTTCGTCGGCTTTATCGGCAGCAGCTTTCAATGCTGCGATTCTGTCCGCCTCTATGGCTGCTGCTTCCGCATCGGGAATATCCGGAATGGTTTCCAGCGAGGAGATGCTCGGGCTGCGAGATCGGAGACTGGTAGGGGTCGAGGGAATAGATGAAGTGGAAGAGCCAGAGTAGCCTGGAAAAGTCTCATTGAATCGCGAACTGAGTACGCCAGGAGAGGAGTGCGAGGGAGACGGGCTGCCCATGACCGAACCAGGCGACGATGGCGGATGGAAATTCAAAGGAGACGAGGGGCGTCGACGATTGACGCGAGGAAGTGTGTGCGGGAGTACAGGCGATGTAGGGTGCCAGTCGGCCTTAGAAGGAGACGTAACCATGCTGGTGTCCAACTCGGCGTTCTCGGAGATGGTCTGGGAGACATTCAGGGGCACCATTCTCGAGTCGGACGATTCCCCCGTGTTCACCTGCAGCGGCAGATAACGCCTAGCTGAATTGTCGCCAGCGTTGGCAGAGCCCCCGCGACCATTGACGAAGATATACCTGCCCTGCGAGTCCAGCCCGGGGGAAGAGTGGGCGCGCGTCATTGGAGGGACGCCTGGAACTTCGATCATCGATCGTGAGCGGACGTGGGAGCGGCTGAAAGAAGCACGACTCGGAGTTTGGGCAGGCGAATCAGGCGTAAGAGACAAGGTGATCGTGACGTGATCACTGCGTTCTGGCTCCCTGGTATGCTCGACGGTAGAGCCGGACGAGGTCGAGTCAACCGAACCTGCCGAGTCCACAGGGCTTGGGGGTAACATAATACCCTCTGGGGCTGGGTGAGACGCTTCCATATCCGTCTGCGAACCAAAGGTTGGGCTAACTGGACCTCATGCTGGTGTGCGAGAGTAAAAATTTGAAAGGGTGGTTTGCCGGGCGCAGAACCAGGATTTGGGGGGAGGAGGGTGAGGCGTGTTGTGGAGCGGAGTAGTTGTGAAATAGGAAGTTAGTAGTACTCCGTAGATATACGGGCTAGGGGGGGGGGGGGGGGTTGAATTTTTGCCCGAGCAAAGCGGAGAGGAGTTATTTAGTAGGGAAAGTCCCCCCTTTTTTTCGATTTTCTTTTCTTTTAAGGCTGGACTATTTTTTGCGCACAAGCAATAAGATCCCCCTTCTTTGATTCTGCGTACGGTCTTGTTCTTTTTGTTGTGCCCCTCTCTTTGTCGCTGCACTTTTTGGCCCTTCTCAAGAACAGAAGTGAGGAACAGGGTCGGAGTGGTGACGAAGGATGAGTAGGGAGGTAATGTTAGTAGATACTGTAAGGTAGTAACTAACTATCTAACGTTAACTAAGAGTGGTGAGGTCAGCTCAACCATCAAAAACCAAAGAATCAACGCGCGGTCTTGCTCGGGGCCCACCCGCACACCGCCTTCTACTTCGGTTTCTGTCAATTCTGTCAATTCTGTCAACTACGTACACCCAACTGCCAGTGGACGTGGACTTTCTCCTCAGACTCCTTCTCCTGCTGTATGAACTACTAATCAAAGCTAAAGAGATACCATTTTAACGGCATCATTTTCCAATTTCATTGCTGACTTTCAGACGCTGCAGTTGCCTCATCGAACTCATCATATCGACTCACTAAGTAGGATGACCGAGGTATCTAGCTGCTACTTGGACCCTGACGGGTTCTTGTTTCCCCTCTCCCGCCACAGATTCCATGTCCATGTCCGATAAGCGTGGCTTGAGGATTCGATTCAGCTTGGCAAACGCAGCATCTTCCTTCCACCTGTATCACTCTTCCTAGTTGCTTCGATGCCATTGCCTTGGTTGAAAGAACAGGGTCCCGGACCATTCGGAGCCAATGTTTTTTTTTCACCCTCTGTCATACCTTCGATGTTTCATTCCACACTGATAATGCGCACCCCGCGCCTTATCGCTGTGGATCCTACTCACACATTCCACGGCAAAAGAGGGGAAGCCCCAGCACCCAGAAGCATCATGTCTGCTCAAAATGGATCCGAGTCTAGGCCAGTCCAGACATTTGTCGATGTTTCCAGAGCCGAGCACACTAACGTAATACACTCTGCAACCCTGTGCCTATTGGAGCTCTCCAGCAATTCCGGCCGTGCCGGAAATCTGGCCTGAGCTACGCTGTACGGACTGTACCGCATGCCGACGGGCCCAACCCTGCATAATAGCTTGCCACGAGGAGAGTAAGCTTGCTGCCACGACCTCACTCCAAGGGCCAAGACACGTCTTTTAAATGAGCCCCCAGGCGGTCGTAGCTCACCCCTGTCGTTCTCAGTCGCTGAAACTGGCCGGCCACAATGGCATATGACATCTTGAGCCATCCGACTGCACAAATCTTCCGGGCAACGAACGGTTCAAGTACTATGCTCTTACACATGGACTATCCTTCGGGTTTAGGCCTTACGGAATGTAATCAACATATAATGACGAATGATTAAATATTATGGTAGAAGGGCTATAAGAGTGAACTTGAATGAGCTAGCTGGTCGGTCAGAAGTCAGCGGCTGCGAAGGGGTATGAATGCTCAGAACCACATTCACGCTATGGTTTTTGAAGATGAATAGTTTCGTGCTGAACTGATTTCAGTGATGATCCTCCTCGCACATCTTCGAGGTATTCTTGCGCACATAAACCTCACGCACTGGATCACCTGCGTTGGCCTTGAGCTCCCACTCACCAATCCCGTATTCGGCGGGTGCTCTCTTCACGCCACGGCCGCCACCTCCAATGATCAAGTTGCCCGGCCGGTAGTTGGGGTCGCTTTTCATCCGGTGGATTGCAGAGACATGGATTTGGGCTCCATTCGGGATATCACGAACCTCCCCACAAGGAAGTGGCCAGCGGATCGGCTTCCAGGAGCCATCTTTCTGAAGATCCATCCGGCGGAAAGGCAGGTACTCCATCATCTTCCAAGTAAGAACTGACATACCCGGTAAACCCATCTTGAACTCCAAACAGTCGTGCAGCAGGCCTTCGGTGCTCGAGCAAAGGAGAGCCTCGCGGAAGTTGCGACTCGATTCTGAGGTATCTTCATTCGCATATGGCCGAAATCTGGATGGCTGGCCGTCGTCTGCGTTATTATGCGCCGGGTCCCGGCAGAAGTCACTGTCGCGATTCCAGTTCATTGTTTTCTCATGGATTGGAGTGTAATCTCCGTCAAATTCCTCGCAGCATTCGAATTGCTTCAGCTTCCGGGGGTCGAATTGCAGCCCGGCACGCTGGGCTTCTTGGACCATCCACACCAAAGGGGCATGGCTCAATGGCCAAACCTCATCTTCACCAAGCTTCCAGCCTCCGCCAATATCTGCATGACCCCCTGGGAACCAAACCTCTTGGATGTCTTGCCCACCATCCTCTTCGTCACTCATAACCGCCTGCGCAATGACCTCGGGTACTTGCAGTGATAATCCGGAATTGCCGCTGCGGATGGAATGAACATCCTCTGTGGATCCCGCCATGTCGGGCACCGCCAGGCTGAGCTTCCGATTAGGGCTGGGTGAGGCATGAGCACGGTATCGGTGTGAATCGTGATGCAGGTCCTCACGAGAGCAGTTAGTGCTCCGGTACACAGACTCTGTTTCTTCGTGGCTTCGCCTTGGGTGCTGTTGCATTCCATTGCCGATCTCCTTGTCGTCGTTGTCATCATTCACTGTAATAGCGGGAACGTCATTGTGGTCACGTCTTTCAGCAGGATGACGAAGGTGATGGAGTTTCTGGCGACCCCAAAGGTGGGCCTCTTTTTTCTTCTTCTCTGCCCAGGGTCTCACTTCCGATATCAGGTCCTGGCGAAATTTGGCCCGACGTTCGTCAATACCGACCGCATGTCGAATCACCTTGGCGGAACTACGAGCGGTGTAAGGAAATTTGCTCCTTTGCATCCATGCTGACTCGAAGCGCGGAACACTGTTGACAGTGTCGAACAGA